GATAAATACGTCATTACACTTTGAGCTGCAATATGCTCACACCATTCAACCTTTTGATTCAATTTTATGATTTGGCATTCCTGCGGACACACCTGCCATTATATACGGAGAATTTAATTAACCGCATATAAACCCGAAGGATTTTCTTAAGATTTGCTTATTTGTATTCTATAACAAAGACAGTCAGACAGTTTACAAAGAATAAAACCTGTTGGAATGGGCAAACCAGAATGCAACAGAAGATTTATCAGAGAATGAAGACTGATTGATGGTCTGATCAAGTTGGAGAGCGTTTGCAAGTTAGAGTGGGTAAATATTACCAAGTAAAGAAGAAGACTGGATGCTTAAACTGAATCAAAAGGTGTGTCAAGAAAGCCTTAGTGTAATGATTTACAAAGTTTTAAACTAGATTATTGCATATTTTCTATTTTTTCATAAGCTTACATTTTATAGACTTGTTTTTTTTTTCAAGCTGAATTTATCAGTAGAAATGGAAGAAATAAGTTTCTCAGCCAAGAAAAATTAAGCCATTCGTTCTTTGGGACCCAAGAGATAAAAATCGTAACAAAAACAAGGGAAGATGGTATTGTTTGTTATGACTATCTTAGAACCGTCAATGAGAGAAAGTGAAAGTAGACAACAATAAAGCAGCTCTGCTCCAGAAGGCTTTAGCAGACAGCAGTGAACACAAAGCACAACCATGAGTAAATAAACTAATCCATCTATTTGCAGACTACCAGACGAGTGCAATGATTGTGTTCCTTTTGAGTATCACTCAAAGTAATACTTTCCAGACCTTACAAAGCTGCTATCAAATTATATTGGTGCCACAATCTGGCAAAACATTTCTAACTATGTTTATGTGTAAAATGAAAGTCGAAGTCCTCTGCCTGAAAGAATCAGCGTAATATTTCCCTTCTGCAAAACATGTTTTTTTCTTCCTCTCACATTAGATTAACTCTAATTTAATGAGAGGCAAGTTGCATGACGTCAGTCATTTTACAGTTTATATTTGTTTTCATCTGCCAATAACTCCAGCATTCAACACTAAGCTGTTGTATTCTGTAAAGCATAATAGCTCTTAAGAAAGAATCCTTTAAAGTATCTATAAACACTAAAATGTAATGTCAACAAAATTTCCTTGCCTTACTTGCACAAATACAACTTGTCAGACTGGCTTTTGTGTACAGCCAAACAAGAAAACGTGGCGGTTAGGGAGCGGCAGCAATAGCTTTTGAAAGTTGAAGAAGTCACGTTCAAAAACTGCTTTCATTGTGTTTGTCATTGTTTTCCACTGGGTGCCCTCTAAAAATATCAAAAATAATAAGCCAATCATTAAAATGAAGTGGTTCAATTGGATTACAAAAATCAAAATACATTTCGGAGAATAGCTGCCAAAGAACATTTATAAATGTTGAATAATGGTAACGATCAACATTAAAACCAGTAACAACTCTTCTTAAGTAACAACGGATACACAAAATGTGTTCATCCGTTTTTTGTGTTTGTTTTTTTTCTTTTTACATTTTTGGAGACATTCTTGTTGTGAGATTTTTCAGAAGAGTGACTTTTTTTTTTTCATTGGTCTTTGTTAGCTGTTGAACTGGTCTGAGTTATCCAATCATAAATGAACACTTAAGATAAAGATACCAGTACTTTATCGGTACAAATACACAAAACAAATTTGTTCAAATGCATTTGTCAAAGTTATTAAAAATACCATGGGCACACAGTTTGATACACATTAAATGGTGTTTGTACCATCAACGACAGGATTTTTAGATGGCTCAGCACAGAAGCTACAGTAGATTATTAACTGAGTGGGGATGAAAGACACATCTCATTTTGGAAACTGTTTATCTTCTGTTCATATTATTACTTTCAGGTCTGGCTATCTACTTGCTTAATTTTAACAATTGAACGACAACATTATGTTATCACAATGAGGCCACAGACTTCATTGATAAAATAAGAAAAAGCATTCGGGAAGCTTGGGACTAACCAAGGTATGAATTCCTCACAACGCAGAAATCATCAAGTGTTTTTTTTTTTTTTTTGATAAAAAGTTATTATTGCTTTTCTTTAATAAAATTGAAAAGCAAAAACTACTTCTGATTACTCCTGGTCATAAGAATTGAATGCAATATTAATGTATTTATTTTTTCTTGGGAAGCTGACATGCTTAGGCACAATGCTAATTGTGCATTGTGGCTGGTTGATTAGCCGGGCTTCCTACCAGAGCAGGTGTACAACCTTGGTTAACTAAAAGACACACTGCTAACTGTAGCTTTAAGACTGTGCTACTTTGAAACATAATGTTCTATCCAGATTCTAGAAATAAAGTTAAGTTTAATATTTTCATCTTAAGATTTCTGAAGCTGTTTTTATCGGATGGTTTGGCAATGAAACAATTTTAGTTTTTTAATCACCTTAACAAATTATCATACTTCCCTACTAAAAGAATGTCTACTGCACTAAACAATAATCACCGTAAACTTGTCTGTCTAACGAGCATAGAGACACTGAGTGCATGGTGCTCACATGCAATTAGCAGTCCAGTTAATATAGTCTTAGTAATGCTGATATTTCATACTGTAATGCTGCAATAACAATAAATATGTAATACAATGTCCATCCTCACTATGGAGACACTTTAAAATGTTCTATCCTGAGATTTTTTTGTTTTTTTTTTGTGCATAAAAATTATGGCTTCAATTAGGTTTGATAAAGCTTTTGCTTTTCTCCATAGCTTCACATTTACTGCAGATGTTGGACTTAAGTGGAGAGATCATTAATAAATATTTTAACAAGCACAATAAATAATTTCACATTTTAAAGGACGCTTTTGCTCTTTAGAGGAGGTAGGCTAGATCTTGCAGATGTAAAGAATAAACTTGCTATATAAATCTCACATGTTTGCATGTACACCTTGCTGAATATCAAAAGAAAGAACCATAAAATGATGAGTTTTACAGTGACAAATTAGAATTGTGCTTTAATTAAGGGCAGGCATTTTATATTTGCGTGACATTTATGTTTGGTGGGTGGAAATAAAAGAAAAACTTAAACTTCACTGCAGAATAATGACAGTTTGAGACCCTAAAAGTGTATCACTGAGAAATGACAACACCAATGGCATGTTAACTGGTAGTAATGTACGGTACAGGCAGGCAGGCCTGAGCAGAGCAGCATCTGTGGTCCAGCACAGCAGCAGCAGCAGCAGCACAGGAGCTACAGGCGCCATCTTGCTGAGTGAAACTAATCGGTCTGCATTTTTTGTTTTTTCCATTCTCCTCAGCAGTTTATCTCTCGCCCGCAGCTCTCTCACAATAGCTTAGGTAAAACCCTCCACGCTGTTTATAGTAAGACATGGATATTTCCAAATAAAAGCGAAATGTTCGTCGTCTCTTGTAACCTTCAAAAGAGCAAACTGACGTAGAAATCTTGTTTTTTTTCTCTCTCTCTCTTACCAGGAGCCTGAGCTGTTATTAAAGTTTATAGAATAAAGCTAGCAGACGTTAGCTGACTTGACCCCTGAATTTGAATCTGCTCGGGGAAAATAGCCTTTATTAAGGACTATTTATGAGCAAAATATTTCGGACCAGATCAAAAACATCCAACATGGCAACAAAGACCTGGCTGTCAATCACTGACGTCTAACGGTAGTCGTTGATGTGACTGTTTATCCTACGCAGTAAATCTGTGTGGTCTAACAGGCCTGTTATGCAGACGAGCTCCTGAAAAAAAAGACGTGAAAGCTTAGAATAAATTATTTTGTAAGCTTAAATATAAGTGTGTAACGTTTTGTTTGTAAAATAAACCGCGTTACGTCTGTCAGATAAGTAAGACAGCCCGTATTATTTTATACAGGCCGCCGTGGATCTGCGACTATAGCCGTTACATCGACATCATTAGCCGTTGTATTAATGCGCCACATCGGTTTGCTCCGTGTTCCACCGTTTCGGTCGACAGGCCCGCCGCAGCCTGTCGGAGCCTGGGAACATCTCGCCAACACCCCGCCACACGCTGCGGTTTCTCCGCTATGTGCTCACCTCAGATGAAAGCGTCAAGGTCGCCACCAGCAAGAGCAGAAACGCCGTGTGCTCCCCCATACCGGCCTCCTGATATCCAGCACCACCGTCGTGACCACGGATTGTGTCGCTTGGATTAAAAGAGAAACGTTTAAAAGAGATTTAAACGTGTCAGCCGAGGCTCTCCGATCCCGGTGATCCTTCCTCGTTTCTCCCGGAGGTGGCGGTGGTGTGAAAGCTGGAGACGGTGTTGGGATTGGAGCGGGGACGGAAGGGGGAGAGCGTGTTCGTGTGTTGGAGGGAGTGAGTCGGGTCTGCATTGACCATTTGTGTGTGATGCCAAGAACCTGGACAATAATCTTCTATCTGTTGGATTTAAACGAGAAACATAATTGTTTTCTGCAGGGGCGACACCAGAATCTCTCCGGATGCCCGAGAGAGAACAGCTGACATAATAATGATTGCGACCTTTTAGAAAATAAAAGGTCGCAATCTCAAAGAGTGAGATAATATTTTATTTAGATAACAATGGACCACACCGCGGTCCATGTTAAAACAATTTACGGATGCTGTGTTGGAAAAGTGGTGGCGGTGTAGTGGTAAAAGATTCTAAAACCACAAGGATCTTCGTCAGTTGTTTTTTTTATTAAAGTAAAAAAGATAATGTTTTTATTTATTTTTTAAAAATCTTTCATTTCCTTTTTTGATACCACAAATCAGGCTATGAAACCTGACTGTTATTGTGTTTTATGCGTACCCCTTTTTCAGTTATCCACCTCTGATAATCAGTTATGATAAATCTAAAGTCAGGAACTGATACTGGATCACCTCCATGCAACCCCTCCTCCTGCACATCCTCTGCCAGTAGGAGTGCGTGCATGGGTATGTGCGTGGGAGGCAGAGGAAATAACCCAGGATATGTTGCAATCCTTCTTGATTGCTCTGCTCTGATTTTTTTTTTTTTTTACTTTCACTTCAGCCAACATAAAAAGACAGTCACTTGGATTTAGTCTGTATTAGGATGCAGCTTCTGAGAGAGATCTGACTTTGCAACCTCTGATCAGAAGGACTTGCAAGAACAACAATTCATATAGATAACCAGATTGAGAAATTCAAAAGGAAACATATGAAGAAAATGGGTCTCATTTATGTGCCGCTGATTTTAATGATGATTTTTGGTAAGTTATAAATTCAATTAATTTGTACAGGACTTTGACTCGAATGTAAAACAACATTTGGGATAGCTTCACAGAAAAACTTCTTTCAAAGTTTTTTTTTTTGCTTCATAAACAAAGTAAAAATTTTGTGCAAAACCAATTTTGCATTTAATAGCAACCTCTGTTATTATGTTCATACATGTTGAAAAAAATGTTTGACTGCAATAAGTTTCAGTGAGTTATTTTGTGGAAAATACCTTGATAGTGATTCAAGAAAAATGAATCAAGGTCTTTCAACGGCTGCTATAACTGTTCTATTTCTTTCTGCTTGTAGGAGCCATGTCACAAGAAACAGGTCAGTTTTTATATTCAATCACAGTTTCATTAGAAATTCTGTTTTTGTTTTTGAAAGTTGTTTGAACATTGCTCAAGAGTTTTCTGATAAGGTGCACAAGACAAACACGTCTTGTGTCAAACACGGGAGATTTTCCCTGATGAAAGCCGTAGTGGTAGATCTTCAAAGAGCACAGCTTTGTTACTAATGTGAAGACAGATCAATCTAAACTATTGTCACTTTTCTCAAAGTGTTGAAATGTTTGAGGTAATATGAGAAGTTAGCAGATAAAGGTTGATTTTTTTTTTTAGCACTAATCTTCATTTTATCAGTTATTCTTTTCTGTTTGATAGATTCAATGTTCAAGTTGAGAACTAATGATTTAAATTAAAACAGTAAATAACCCAAGACATCTATCTGATGGGGTTGCATTCAAGTCTAGACTGTGTGTCTGTTTTCATACTTTCAACTAGAAACACCTGTTCTCTTTTGGTTTTGTTCTTGCTTTACTTCAATGTGAAAAAAAGAATGCAAGAGAGGCTTAAATGAAAGAAATTAAAAAAAGGATGATGTTAAAAGCTTGACCAAATGCAATTAGAAATGCATCACCTTTTTTTATTCATCGATTATAAAAATTAGTGAATTTTAAATGCACATCCAAAACAGTAGTTAAAACAACTACCTCAGATGTGACATTTTGTTTTTATCAAACAAAATAATGAAAACATAATGCATTTTCACAAAAATTTGAGGAAAAAAGACAAACAAATCAAAAGCAAATAATGTGAAGTTTAATAATTAATGACATTGGGCAGAATAATACTTGAGTCAGGAGAGAAGAAGATGAAAATTGTCAAAATGTTGAATTTTAAGTAAACTACAGAACATGCAAAACATGCTTTCAAGAAAAATTAAAAATACTTTTTTTTCTTAATTCCTCATCAGCTATTTATTTACTGAAAATGGTCACATGCTTTATTTCATACCAACTCAGTTCCTACATAAATGGAAATAATGTTTCAGTATATGTTTAAAATTTAATACAAGTTTTCTGAATAAAGACATAATAAATAAATGGATCTGATTTCACACTTGCTATTTTAATCAAATCTGTGTGTTTGCATTAATTTCTTATGAATGGTCATATCTTCTTTTACAGTTTATGTCACTGGTGTCCAAGGTGAAGATGTCATTCTGCCTTGCCTCTGTGGGGAAGGAGAGCTAAAAGTGCTTAAGTGGCAAATTGAGAATCCGACGACACCGATATACACAATGGAACAACCTGAGCAAAACGCTCTAACCAGAGTTGAAACCTATTGGAGAAAGAACAGCAGTGACTGCTCTCTCGGTCTGAAGAGTATCACAGAGGCTGACAGCAACACCTACAGATGCAGTTTTACAAAAAACGTTTACACGTTTAAGCTGATAAACCTGCGTGAGTCAGTCATTAATATCTCTAATATTTACTATTATCTTTTCAACTGTTGTCATCTTAAATGAGAGTTTTTCTCATGAGTGTGAATAATGATAATTCAGCACACCTTGCATATTTTCTGTAAAATCTGTCAAAAAACATTGACAAAAAATAGAATCAGTGCTAATGTGTTCTAACTGATAATGTCAAGGCTTTAACGGTTTCATTTATTTCTCTTTACAGAAGTCATCCCACCACCACCTACAACAGGTCAGTTTTTGTGTTAAACTGTTTTATGAAAGATAGGCCACATCTAATCTGTTACTGTCATCTTCTTGAAATGAGTTTTGTTCAAATAATGTGATAGACAATATACCCCAAATATGGTCAAATAATTTCATATTACAATGTTCTAATTGTTGTTGTTTTTTTCTTCTTCTTTTTTAGTTCGTCCAGAAGTGGTCACTTCAGAAAGATCAACAGACTTTCATCTTGGAAAATCCGTTTCTAAGGAAGAAAAAAAAGGTTTATCTTTCAGGAAGACTTATTTGATCATTCCAATAGTTGCTATTCTTCTCATCGTGGGTTGCCTTTGCATTGCTTATCTGTGAGTTCTTTTAAAATTATAATTGAAATAGTTCATATTCTGCTCATTTTCTCATTAAGTATATTGTATTAAAAATGTTTACTTAAACAGTTTCACATCATCTACATTTGTTTAATTCCAATGTACTAAAAACTAAAGATGAAACTATAAACCAAAAAAACTGCCTCTCAATTTTCCCCATTTGACGGTTATTTTATGTCTGCAGTGAAACTGCGTTAGTGGCAAAGTAGGCAATGTTCGTTTTGTCAAGCAAGTATGGACGCTTTAAAAAGAACATATTTCATAGTACAAAACAAATATTACCAGTTTTGTTTATTTTAATAAATAAAAGCATCAAAACAAACAATTACTAAAGGTTTTTTAGTAATTGTTTAAACTATGAACTTGTGTTTAAACTTGTGTAAACTATAAAAATATAGTCTTACTCTATTTTTATATTTATTTTGAAAGCATCTTTGAAGCACAATTGCAACTCTGTATTTACAACTGAGAGGCAGTTTTAGTCCATCTTTTGATAAAACCTGAGGCATTCAGCATTTTGAGAAAATAGACAACTGCTGCTAACATACGAGTAACACTGAGGCGTTAGCTGGACACCATGCACATGTGTAAAATATTAGTGCAAATAAGCAAAAAAAAAAAAAGAAAGTGAAATATTTTAAAACAAAGAGAATTGTGGTACTGCTACAATTCATACAGAATTGTATAGCTGCATGACTGAGCAGCTACACAATGTGAAGTTGTTAATCTAAATTTGTACGTTGTTGCTGAAAGACACCACAACTCAGTTTTCACACTTCTCTATCAACAGGAAACGAAGAGGAAACTGGAAAGTGCTGACCCAAAAGGTGACAGATTTGTCCGAGGTTATGACAGCGCCAACATGTCCTGAAACCCACACATGCCGTCTGGTCTAAAGGAAGTTGAATGACCGGTTCACCATAAATCATTATAAACCTAATCAGAAACAAATTTACTCTGACCTTCCAGTAATAATAAGTCCAACAACCGATAAGGTGGATCATGCCGGTAACCTAAACATAACGCCTGGTTCTGATAGGAAGCCCCCTCAAATAAGTTAAATATTATTTGAACCTGAACTCAAATCCAGTCACACTGTCTGAAGACAGGAGTGATAAGAATGCTTGCAGCCGCCTCCAGTTGGACTTTGTACTCTGCTGCAGAGCAGATAAGGATCAAGAACAGGACAGACCACTTCTCTTGCACTGAGCCTGATCTGACCTATTATTATTAGGATGTGTCTTAAGAAGCGCCATCAAAATACTGCCGATGTGTAAACTGTTTTATAATCTGTCTGCCAGCATCCTACACTTTATTACAAAAACGTATCAGTCTCTTTGGGTGGCACCCAAAACGTGTTAGATTTTTAGTGTTTTTGAATTCTCGTGGGAACAATCTGAGGAAAATTAGTAAACTTTTAAAAACCACCAGACAGAATGTGCAACTCTAAGGATTATGACATGGAACTGAGCTGTTACAGTAATGTTTACTTTAACCAAATTTAAAGTAAACATTGTAATTAAAATGTATATAATCGAGAGGGATGCAAGACATATATATTTCCATTTCGTCAGAAATATCACTTTTTCCAGTGACTTCATTTCTATCTGTATATATTTGTAAATATGTAACAAATATTTTTAGGCATCATGAAGATATTGGGTGATTAATATTTCTTTCCACAGATGTAATCATATTTAGTGCCATATCTTTGTTCTTTGTTAATGGAAAATAATATTTATTTCTGTCTACACTTTCTTAACCTATATTAGGTGGTTGTACATAATATATTGTTTGTTTTTCCTTTCAGTTGAAAGTATATAACTTTTGTAAGACATTCAAGAGGTTTGATATCTTTTATGAGTCCCCACTGCCAAAGAAAATCATTTTGATCTTTAATATTTTCAAAGAGGATTTTGAACAATAGGAGCTGGACTCCAATAAAACTGCACTGAGAAAATAAGATACTAAAATGTTTCCTCTTGTGAGCTTCATCAGGGTCAACCAATATAAACTGCTGATTCAAGCTATGGAGGGGCTTTTTAAAGGAAGTAGACAAAATGTGAATTAAAGGTCAGAGTAAAAAAAAAAGTATTTAAAGGAAAAGCTCACGATGACTCTTCCTCCTCAGAAACAAAGAAAATGACCTTTTGTCCTTCCCTGGAATACCTTCTACCAATTGTCTTTTGTTTTTGCTTTCCTATTTTCAAGTTAATGTTCAAATGGATGTAACTGAGAAAAGGTGCTAAATAAGATCTCGTTAAATCAAATGTAACAATGTTCAGTTCACCGAGGAGATGCAGCAAGCAGCTAAAGAAACGTACTGTGATTCCCTCCTCCTTCAATGTGGTCAGACTGTCTATTGTACACTTCCTTTTTATATTGGGATTTGAAACACTGATGTACAAAGTGTATTTAGAAGCATTTTTTTTATTAAAACATAATAGAAAAATGTTGTTGGTCGGTTTTATTTCCTTTTATAAGCTTCCAGTTCCTTTTTATATACCACCAAAAAAGCTTTGAGACATGACTCACTTCCTTTATCACACAGAACAAGAACGTCTCATCAGCAAATTGTACTGAAGTCTCCAAAGTAATCATTCTGCTTCAAAAGAGTTTCACAAATTTATTATACTGAGACAAATGATACATACTCAGATCTTATTCTTATACCCTTAAATATAATCCATCATATAGTAAATACAATTTATGTGTTAGTGATTTATTCTCTGAAGGTGTCAGAGGATTGTTCGAGAACAAATTGCATCATGAGGGCAAAGGAAACAAGCACACGGGTCTGGAAGAAAGATATGGGAAAGATGGTGAAAGAAGGTCAGGGCTTCAATGAGAAGCATGTTAAACCGTTTGGTCTACACTGGGAATATTGTGTGTTGGAAAAGATTTAAAACGTCTGTCGCTCTGGTCATCTGAGAGAACTGTTCAATCTGTCGTCTAAAACTGGAATGAATGAGAGCAGCTTTTACAATTAAAATATGCCAGACAAAAAGAAACTCATAATGTATGGTCATCACACCTAAAGTGAAAAATTTCAAGCCTTTGTTTCTTCAAATTTCAATAATTTCATTTATTTAGAATGGCTGTAGTACCTTTATGTTGCAGGAGCGTCCCAAACTGAGACGCTCTATACATCCCATAGCCACAGTCTGCATATATTGACCTGCATGGATAAAGACCAAGGCTTGGAGGTCCAAATTACACAAGAAGTGATGTCATGCGAAGCTGTGGGAGCGCTCCCTGCACCCCTATAAAAGACCGAGAAACTGTAGTTTCAGGGCTACTTTTGTTGAGTTTGTCCCTCCGACTCGTCTCTAAATGTAGAGCTTTCTTAATCTGCAAATGTATTTGGATTGTGTAATAAATATGCTTATTTATTTAAGTCTGTCTTACAGAGTCCTCGTTTATACATGTCTTAGAATTATAGACAACCCCCTAAAATATATTTCAAACTCATCATAGTTGACAGAAATAAAGTCTTGAAAACTTCAAGTATGTTGAATTTATCTATATCATGTATTCCAGTTAGAAAATTGAGTTTCTGAAATAATTGAACTTAATATAGCAATATTCTAATATAGTACATAAGACTGCAAATGTGCTTATGTATTAAACTTGTAACTCTAATTGGAGTGTGAAAACTTGGACTTTACTGATTTCAGTGTTTGGAGTCTCATTTGGGTTTCCATTTTAACCTCCTCTGTTTTTCATTCATTTCAACTTTCCATACTTCACACTTTCCTTGTGTTCTCTTACATTAGTGGTCTTTTCCTAGTCTTTCTGTTGAGTTTCTCATCACATAAATGCGACAGACAGAGGGGTTTTTGTTTGGATTACACATTCTTGAATTTCAGAAACTGTAGATTTTCAAACCTGTAAAAATTTCATCTTTTCCTGAGACATAATATTTAATACTTGACAAATCCAAATCCAAAAGGTGTGGAGTGCATTTGTATTAGTTCTCATTCAATAAGCTGCAGCCACCTTCATGTTTTTACACGCTTTGCACATCAGGAAATAAATATTTCTGCCCACTTATCTTACACAATAACTCAAGTTCATTCAGATTGGATAGGTTAATCCTTCCACCAGATTTCTGTGTTTGGCTTATGGCAATCTGTATTACGGTAAGCGTCCAGCCTGTCCGCTGAGACTGGCAGTCATTTTTTGGTTGCAGTCATGCTGTATGTACATTCATTCCAGTTTCAGATGACAGGCTGAACAGTACAAGGTTTGCTTTTTACTTTATTAAAAATGCTTGCATTTTTCAGGGCATAAGATTAAACAGGACTGAATATAAATATGCATATCATTTTTCCAACAGATAGAATCTGTGAAATCTGGTAGCAATTTTTTTTTTTTTTTATAGAAAATTACCTGACAAGCCTTTCTCGTGTTACATATTGAAGGAACGCTATGTTTCAAGTCACGTTTTATGGTTATAAGAAGGAAATGAAAGTTTATAAAAGAAACAAGGAGCAAATTTTAACAAGAACAAAACATATTCTATTAAATCAGTGTTTTAATTGTGGGATAAAAAGATTCACAGTGCATCTTTTGCTTTAATGCACCAATTAGAACTTTAACTTCAGTAAAGTGTGACAGATTAACATTTCTTATTTCACAGTGATACCAGGACTCAAGATTTATGAAATGAGAAAGTGAAAACAAAAGACTCTTGGTAGAAGGTATTTCAGGGCTAAAATTTTCATTTGTTCCTATGCTGAAAGAAGAGTCATGTGTTTTCTTTGTTTCATTGGTTGGCCAAGTGTGAAATTTACTTCCTTAGAAAACTCTCCGTCATCTGTCTCAGCAGCTTTTCTTGGATGAGCCCGATACTTTACATCAGAAACATTCTAGTATCTTCTTTTTGCAGTTTTAATGGAGTCTAGCGTTGTTCAATATTCTCCCTAAAAATATTAACAATCAAAATGTTTTACTTTGGCAGTAAGGAATAACTAAAGGGATCAAACCTCCTGAATGTCTTACAAAAGATGTATATTGTCAATTAAAAGAAAATTGAACTATACTCTATGTACAACAACCTAATGAAATGTAGAGCTAAGAAAGAGAATAAATAAATAAATTCAACAAAAAATATGTGGTACTCCAGATGATGACATGCATGGAAACAAATGACCCAATAAAATCTGTTACACATATACATTTGGAAATGAAATCACTGTGAAAAAGTGATACATCTGATCAAATGAAAATAGATTTGCCTCCAGATAATGTACATTTTGAATACAATGATCAGAAATACTTTTTACATCTAAAAGTGAAGTGAACATTATGGTGTCAACTCAGATCAATGCTGTGAAACAAAGAGCTGCACATTCTGAGCCAGTAAGAAAATGTTTGTCACCTCGATTCAACGACCTGTCACAAAATCAAAAAACAAACACCTTGTGCCACTCAAAGAGACAGTAGGTGTTGAGCAACGGGATCCTGGCTGAGAGCCTGTCGGGCTTGTTAAGACAAATTCTGATACTGACAGATCAGATCAGATCAGAATCATGACAGTCTGGAGGCCCGGTGGGAAAAAGTGAGTTTCGGCCTCTTGATCCATTTCTGCAGTCGTAGCACTTTACCAAGATGACTCACCTAATCTGTTCGTGGTTATATTCTGTGTCTGATATACAGAATATATTACGTACATGTAATAAGATACACTGAATTGTAACAGAACGGTTATAAAACACCAGACATTTAGCTCCAAACCCAAATACTTCCTGTTTAGTTTGGAGGATGTGATACAAGTGCTACTGACTTGTATCAATAGCACGTATAACAGTTGTCATCGGTTATGATAACAACTGTTCTAGAAACTAACGTTGCCGTATCATCTTACTTCACCTCTTTCCACTGTAGCTTCTGGCTTTGTTTTCTGTCAAAAAGAGAGAAGTCTGAAAAGATAAATGATACTGTTTGCCAATCCCAGGTTTCAGTTTTCCATAAACACTCTCGTCTCTTGAACTGGATTAACCACTACCAAAGTGTGGCAATAACAAATTAAATAACAGTTCAAAGGGCATTAGCGTTCATTTTTTATAAGCTAAAATTGATAAACACATTTTTAGTGTATAACAAAAACTTAACATTTTTAGTTATAAACTATGTAACTTGGGTGTTTATCTCTGTTCAATAAATTAAACACACTTTTGGTGTTATCTTCTCAAAACATTTTATTATCTACCATATTTAGAAGCAACATTTAAAATAGAAATTCAACAAACAAATTTTTTTTTACAAAGCTATCTAAGGGTGCACGGGATTTTTGGTAATAACAAAAAGTATTTTCTATATTTATGTTTAAAATAATAAAAATGGGTTGCTGGTGCTTTGTTTCCAGTTTGTACAAAGTTTAACATTTTATTATGTGCACATTTAATGATGAGTTAAATAATATGACAGGGGGAATAATATTAGTAAAAAAAAACATAAATGATTTTTGTTATTTTATGACAGTTCATAATTTAGAACAATTCTTAAGGGTAGAGAAGTCTATTTTATATCCTATATTAAAATACATTTATGATATCTTTAATATTTAATTCTTTTAAGAATAAAATCATTCTTGACATAATTATTTTTAGGTACTATGTCAAGAAATCTACAGAGGATCAAATGGATTTACAAATTAATTGTAAATCTTACATCATTTATACTTGTCAGAATTTGACTTAAGATTTCTCAATTAGGCATGTTGTCTAATTAAACTATAATATATGACAGCTATAATATATTTAATAATTAACTAGTCATAATTAACTAGTCACAGTTAATTATTATAAATATCACTAACTATTATTTCGATTCATTAACCAATTCCACTCATCTGGAATTTGTGGTTTAACTGATTTTATGTTTGACGGCATGCCATACTCCGTGTGGTTTCGCTTTTGCGTCATTTCCGGTGTTATGCCGAGAAATGCATGCCTGCCGAGAATTGCATCCCCTGTCGCGGGAGCGCGCATCGCTCTAAACTCTCGCATATTGACGAGTAAACGGGCTGAAATCCGACCGAAGAGGAAACTTTTAAAAATATTGGTAACATTATCACGTTTATTAATCATGTAAGCGCTAAAATTGTGGGTTTTACTTCGCAAATTAATTAAAATAAACACTGATTTTTTTACGTTTATTGAGCCATATTTGTCGAACGTTCTTGTGTCTGATGAACAAGTTCTCCGCAGCTGCTTTGAAATTCCAAGATTTTTCTTTTAACACCATAATAGCTTAAAACTTTACAAAACCGAGGCCCAATCCCAATTACGTAGAACATTTTATATTACGCTTAGCTGTCTAGTGTATTAATGTAGGGGAGATGCGTTTTAATTTCTGAGCCTGCTAATATTTGCATCCCCTGTCTATTGTCCTGTTCATATGAAACTTATAGTGGTAACTCAGGGAACAAGTGTCATTATGTAGAAAAAATGTAATTTCCAAGTTAGCAGGGGATGCAATTTTTGGCAATATGGATTTCTAGCTTGCCAAAATTTGCATCCCCCAAGTTTTCATCAAATATGATCCAATTGAGGTGAAACTCATACCAGCAGTTCTTACAACTACTCTGGTCATGTAGGACAAGTTATTCCACTCTTAACTCTTTATTTCTCAGAGTTAGCAGGGGATGCAACTTTTGGCAATATGGATTTCTAGCTTGCCAAAATTTGCATCCCCCCCTGTTTTCATGAAATATTTTCAAAATAATATTAAATTAATTCCAGTAGTTCATAGAACTACTCTGGTCATGTAGAAAAGGTTATTTCACTCTTAACTCTTTATTTATCCAAGTTAGCAGGGGATGCAACTTTTGGCAATATGGATTTTTAGCTTGCCAAAAATTGTATCCCCTCTATTTTTATCAAATATGATTCAATTGAGGTGAAACTCATACCAGTAGTTCATAGAACTACTCTGGTTATGTAGAAAAGTTGTTTCACTCTTAACTCTTTATTTCTCAGAGTTAGCAGGGGTTGCAATTTTTGGCAATATGGATTTTCAGCTTGCCAAAAATTGCATCCCCTCTATTTTCATCAAATATTTTCAGAATGATATTAAACTAATACCAGTAGTTCAAAGAACTACTCTGGTCATGTAGAAAGACATATTTCACTCTTAACTCATTATTTTTCAGAGTTAGCAGGGGTTGCAATTTTTGGCAATATGGATTTTCAGCTTGCCAAAAATTGCATCCCCCCTGTTTTCATCAAATATGATCCATTTGAGATTAAACTCATACCAGCAGTTCTTAGAGCTACTCTGGTGATGTAGAAAAAGTTATTTCACTCTCAACTTTGTGTTTCTCTAAGTTAGCAGGGGGATGCATTTTCCGGCAATATGGATTTTGCTCCTGCCAAAATTTGCATGTCCTCTCTATTTTTCTCAAATGTTATGCTAATAACATGGAACTCATAGCAGAAGCTCATACAACTATTCTTCTTATGCAGAAGATGTTATTCCACTCTTAATTTTTTATTTGTACACGTTAGCAGGGGATGCGTTTTATGGCACAGCCTGTTATCAACCTGCCAAAATATGCTTTCCCTCTCTTTTTTCCTCAAATGTTATCCTATTGATATGAAACTCATACCAGCAATTGAGGGAACAAATGTGATTATATAGAAAAAGCTATTTCACTCATAACTGTTTGTTTTTTTAAGCTTGGGGGGATGCATTTTTTGGCATAGCAAATTATGAGCTGCCGATATTTGCATGCCCTTTTTTTCAGCTCAAAAGTGTCGTACAGATTTGAAAGTCACTCTAGTAGCTCAGAGCATACGTGTCATTGTCTAGAACATTTCATATAACACATTACTATCCTAATTCTCCAAATTGCAGGACATGCATTTTCTGACAATTTTCATTTTGAGCACATTCTCAGATGCATTCAATAATATTTGATGACAATAGCGGGGATGCAGATTTTGGCAACCTGAAATTCCACATTGCCAGAAAATGCATCCCCCTGTTAACTTGGAGAAACACAGAGTTAAGAGTGAAATAACTTGTCCTACATGACCAGAGTAGTTGTAAGAACTGCTGGTATGAGTTTCACCTCAATTGGATCATATTTGATGAAAACTTGGGGGATGCAAATTTTGGCAAGCTAGAAATCCATATTGCCAAAAATTGCATCCCCTGCTAACTTGGAAATTACATTTTTTCTACATAATGACACTTGTTCCCTGAGTTACCACTATAAGTTTCATATGAACAGGACAATAGACAGGGGATGCAAATATTAGCAGGCTCAGAAATTAAAACGCATCTCCCCTACATTAATACACTAGACAGCTAAGCGTAATATAAAATGTTCTACGTAATTGGGATTGGGCCTCGGTTTTGTAAAGTTTTAAGCTATTATGGTGTTAAAAGAAAAATCTTGGAATTTCAAAGCAGCTGCGGAGAACTTGTTCATCAGACACTGAAGAACGTTCGACAAATATGGCTCAATAAACGTAAAAAAAATCAGTGTTTATTTTAATTAATTTGCGAAGTAAAACCCACAATTTTAGCGCTTACATGATTAATAAACGTGATAATGTTACCAATATTTTTAAAAGTTTCCTCTTCGGTCGGATTTCAGCCCGTTTACTCGTCAATATGCGAGAGTTTAGAGCGATGCGCGCTCCCGCGACAGGGGATGCAATTCTCGGCAGGCATGCATTTCTCGGCATAACACCTGTCTCCACAGTATGTTTTCAAGGGGGCGGCTATCCGATTAGCATGGAGGCAGTAACTGAAAAACGAAGCTAAAAGTTCAAATGTCTGCGGTTTAACAAGTTGTGCCAAGGCATTTAGGTCAAAGGTAAGACTGTTAGGACCAAGGAAATGTCAAGTTGTTGTCGCCATGAGGAAATAAAAAACACAAAACGGATGCTAAAAAAATAATAATGCTATTCAACCAGTTAGCTGTGTTGAATGGAAGTAGACATGGGTTTATTTCCTTAAACTTGAGGTTAAATGTTTTTAGATTACGCATTTGCACCAATGGGTGTCCACTAGTTGCGTTGGGGGACAAATTTAGTGGGAGGAGGAACCCGCTCTTAAAACAACCGTGATAGCAAACAACAACAGGTGAAAGCTGTTTTGGCAGCGACTGATACATGAAAGTACTTGAGGTTTTTATTCTGCTAAAGATATCATATTTAACATTAGGTGTGAGAAGCTTTTGAACTGTTATGTGATCTATTGCCAATTTTGTTTCCAATACATGATGCAAGTATCTCAAGTCATCAGTCTGGAGAAGTATGGAAGTTAATATCCATCCCACCATTGATTTGCCCTCCATCATTTATCCATCTGCGTGCATTACGTGGTTTCTTCAGATTCTGCCATCATTCATTCATGTATTTTTGGCTCTGATCCATCCATCCATTTGTCAATTAAACCTCTTTTTTGACAATCCGTCCATCCATGGATCTAAAAATCTGGTAAAAAAAAAAAGAGAGAATGCACTATAAATTCTGGAAATTTGAAAATTTTGAATGTCAAAAATGTTTCAGAGCCCAGACACCAGCTTGTAATTTGGTATCAATTGGACAAACTAGCAATTGGCTACCGTATTTAATATTTGGTTTCCAGATCTGGAATTTCATGTCATTCCTAGATTTCTTTTTATTGGAAATATGTACAATCACCCTGTGCTTTATCTGGCAGCAAAGAATTAAAGAAAATTTTAACTGTATGAATTATTGAGGTGACAGCTTGAAATAGTTAAATTAAACTTTGACCCTACAAATATTGAAGTACATTTGATGATGTGGATTCAGTCATTCAGAGCGTGACAGTAATCAGTTTTGAAGTAAAAGAATAAATAAGTTAGAGAAACAAGCAAAGTTAATCAAAGTCTTTGACCATGAGTCTATTTTTAAGTTGAGGCTTAAAACTTTCCTTTTTGATTGAGTTTGTAATTATATGTGCACTATAATACATTGATTAAGTGTATTATCTTTCAACTATGTTAGCTTCGTCTAGTAAATTTTCCTTTGGGTTGTTTGTTTTCTATCAGGTGTCTATGGCTGATTCTTTTATAAAAATATATGTTATATAAATGTTTCAGGATTGACTGACTTCAAACCAGCAGAAGACTGAACAATGGGCCAGAGAAGGAAAGTTGGATCTATGAACACTCCTTCATTGCAGAGTGAATCTGCAGACGCTTCCAAGGTCCACAGCCGGAAGCACAACATCTGCATGGTGTCAGACTTTTTCTATCCAAATATGGGAGGAGTAGAAAGTCATATTTACCACCTGTCTCAGTGTCTGATCGAAAAGGGACACAAGGTGGTAATCGCCACGCACGCCTATGGCAATAGGAAAGGTGTCCGGTACCTGACCAACGGCCTGAAGGTCTACTACCTGCCCCTGCAGGTGATGTACAACCAGTCCACAGCCACCACCTGCTTCCACAGCCTCCCTCTGCTGCGCTGTGTTTTTGTCAGGGAGCGCATCACCGTGGTGCACGCACACAGCTCCTTCTCTGCTATGGCCCACGATGCACTGTTCCACGCCAAGACGATGGGCCTGAACACGGTACGTGACCTGACGTCTTGGATGTGAGTAGGTTCTTCAACTGCAGGTTATTTATTGTTAAAACTAAAATACTGGTGACTTCAGTCATACTGTTTTTGGCCTTGTCTGTCCTGATTAGGGAGTGAAAAAGGTTTCACAAATCCCAAACATGGTTGGAAATATTCTGCTATTAGTTGAGAATAATCCAGTCCAGGTTTGAAGTGTCTGGGTGTTGTAGTTTTTTAAGTGGAGTGAATTAAAGATGCAGTGTCATCAAAGTAAAAAAAAAGTCATAAAAGAAACATAAAATATGGAACAAGCTTTTAAAAAAAAATTAGAATAGTTGCATACAATCTATTTATTCTGGCTGTTTCTACAAGAGTTACTTTAGCTTTTTTCTGGTCATTTTATTAAAGTTTTGGTCTTTTCAGTAGCTTACCTTTTCTCTGGACAATCTAGATATGGTGTATCTTAGGGTACTTTCACACCTGACTTGATTTCATTGGTGTCCAAATTAGCAACATTTGTTACATTTTCAGGGGTTCACTCTGCACTTTTTCAAATTAACTAAGGCCTTTGAAAAACCTGTTCCCTCCCCTTCTTGCCTATAATAGCACTTCATAAAGAACCACTGAAGCAAACAACATCAAAACCTATGAAGAAGACACTGATGAGAACTTCTTTCTTCACGAAATGTACACAAATGGAGTGATGTCAGATTTTAGTGGTCGCCATCTCTTTTGTCTTTGGTAAAAGACTAGCGCTCCTACTAGCGCTAGAGATACACACTTGTTTTGGTTGTATTTACCCATAATGACTTGTGCCTACAGTCCACTTCTTGCTTTTGGAGCGGTCTCTGGTTCTCTTCGCATCACATATAGATTCAAACTGCACCAGAGTTCACTTCTACCAAACTGAGACCTAGGAATTTAGGCTAACCAGAGTTTGCGAACTAGAATTCGGTTTACTTGCCCAAGTAAACTGGACTTTAAAGGTAAATGAACCAGAGTTTGATTGAAGCGGACCAAACAGGGCTGGTGTGAATGCACCCTAAGTAAGTGATCCACATTCACTAAGGAATATCAAGGGACACAGCTGTTTGCAGTAACTGATGCTGTGACAAACATAAAATGCTGAAACATGTATAGTCATTTTCTTTGTTTTAAATAAATAACAAATTCTTTCTCTCCCACAAAATGAAATGTATCATCTGCTGCTAATAATGCATCTTTAACGTTTGCTGGAAGGTTTTAGTTTTGATCTTAGGAAATTGTAGCATTTAAGAGAAATCAGAATCTGACCAAACATTTCACCACTGTTGTAAACATAAAAGCCATTTTTTCTCTTCAGGTGTTCACTGACCACTCTCTCTTTGGCTTTGCTGACGTCAGCTCTGTGTTGACCAACAAGCTCCTGACCGTGTCGCTGTGTGACACCAACCACATCGTGTGTGTCTCGTACACCAGTAAGGAGAACACGGTTCTCCGGGCAGCCCTAAACCCAGAGATTGTGTCCGTTATCCCCAACGCCGTCGACCCCACGGATTTCACCCCGGATCCTTCGAAGCGTCCACCCGACCGGATCACAATTGTTGTCATCAGCCGGCTTGTCTACCGTAAAGGTAGAGCTATACTGATGGTCTTATTTGCTGCTTACAGTTTAAGAGGCTTTGTGACGTAGCGAAGGAGCCAAAACTCAGTTAAAGCCGGTCAGAAAGTAGCCTACTGGTCTCAATATAAACTCATCTGAAGCCTTAATTGTGACTCGAAAATTAAAAAGTGGCCAAAATGACTGTACTACTTTGGCTCTGTCTTATACCATTAGTTTGCAACAATAAATGGTTACAAACTCTAAAAAATTAGAGGTGCTAAAAATCAACACAAAGCTTCCAAAATGAATGCATAAAGTTTATTAAAATCAGCTAATAGCAATGAGGAATAATAAACATTAAGTTTCAGTAGGACAGTAGCAAATGCTGTCCTAGTTAAACCTGTTTTAAAACTCGGTTAAAGGTTGTCTTTGTTTTTGCAGTGCATGCGTATGTGCATGATGCAACACAACGATCGTAAAATAACAAACGTGTACGAAAGGTGAAGCAACCTCTCTACCTCCAGAGAAATTTTGATCGTTAACTTCTGTGACGTTAACAATCTGTGGCACCATTTCAAGTCTTGTAGCATGGAAATAATTATGCATCCTGACTTGTGAAGATGTTTTAACTTGTGCAATCCAAATGTAAAAAAATCTTTGAGCACGGGATAGATTCTCTCAAAAAACTTGTCTTAAATTGATCGTCGGTATGCATTTTATAATGCACGATTAAATTTAGCAGAGTATTTTTAGGCAACTGTTGGGTTACAGTAAAAATAACTGATGATAGATACTGAAAGCTTTATAGAGGAGCTACAATGAGCTTCAGCAGCAACAGCAAAGCTAACTTGACTATGGAAAACGATAACATCAGTGCTTTCCTGATTTCCTTCCCTTTTGCTGTCCTGCCTTTCATCCATGTGTGATTCTGTTCATTCTGTGTTTCTGTGTCTTTCCTTTCGCTTTCGTTCTTTAGTCAGAAAAGCAGCCATTTTTACATTAGAAAGTATAATGTAAAAGTGTAAAGAACCTTTATTGGAGAGCAGAAAGTTAACCTTTTCAAGCATCATGTGGAGCCAATAAAGGCAGGATAGAATGGTAGGGTTAGAAATACCCGACCCAATTACTGACCCAAAGTATAGTGGTTTTATCAATCGATGTCACTTTGCATCAGCAGCCACTCTGCTGTTCATGTCACCGTCAGAAGGCAGTCAAGAATACATTGTTCTAACTATTCAAACTATTTACTATTACACTGATAAAATGATTAACAATTCACCGCCAGCGATCACCTTTCTCTCCGCCCGGCGTATCTCCCACCCGAGTGGGCGATACGCAGTTGTCAGAAGTTTTATTTTTAGCACAGCGTCTCTGTACGTCGTACTGCCTTCGGTTTAGTCCGTTGCATTTTCAATTTCTGAAGGGCTGGTTTCTCATCTGCCTTGATGAGAAACTAAGCTGCAGCTGTAGACGCAGCTACATCTTAATTTTCTCGCTAATAATTACAAAATAGGAAGAAATAATTGTATTCTATTTGTCCTTTGCGAGCAAAATATAAATTCAGCTTTTTAAAAATATCCCTACTAAGTGATAACACCTGCCACTGACGTTTGAGCTTTTCTCTCTCATAATTTATCGACTCACCTGCATTTAATTCTTATATGGGTCATATAGAAGCATCTCATTCACTAATGTCAATTTGATTTAAACTAACTTATTTTATTGCGCTGTGATAAACTGTTGATGAAAGCCCACAACATGCTAGCTAATGTTAAAACAGTGAGAGAAATGCGGGGAAACCAGGGTAACCAGTGAGAGGTTACCAATTCTTGCCACAGTCGAGTTGCACACGCATGACACATAACCCCTTTATTCTGATACCTTTAATGTAAACAGCAATTTATTAACGTAGGTAATGTTGACGTTAGGGACTCAAATCACAGTGTGTGTGGACTGACAAATATAAGTATTGGCAGATATTTAAATGAAGAAATCAAGAAGGAAACCCCAAAATCCAGGATCAGAGCATTTCTAAATAAAACTGGTTCTTCTGCCCGAGAGCATTATGCAACAAAGAACAAATACTCCCCTACATATTCTCATTCATGTTTGCAATTCGTAACTTCCTGACTGTTTCACAGGCTCATAATGCCACGTCACCCACTACTTTAAAAGGAAATACGTAGGTGAACAGGTTTATCAATGTATTATTTACTACCCTGATTAGTTGCTGCCAGCAGTATATTATATTAAAGAGTCATACTCTAATCTGTCATCTTCTTGTTTCTCTCTAATCAAGTTGACGTTGAATAATATGAACCTGTGCTTAATGTTTAATGTTTGGTTAATTTTGTTTAAACTAAGAAACATAAAAGTAGTGACAGCACTTTTAGGAAGTGACTCCACCAATTCCGAGCACCTTGTGCAAGCCCACAACGGTATTGAAAGTTGTAAAAACAAACATGCTTATGTGTTGCAACTCAAACTTGACATTTTGAATCTTCATCTGTCATCTGTGACGATGAATCAAATTGTGGTGGTGTTGGAATACAAAACATTCATCAATTTTGAAGAAGTTTCATTTTAACATCAAGCACTTGTGCAAAAACTGACAACTTTAGTCTTTTTCTACAGGTGAAACAAAATGAGCACACGTAAAGATCATTGTTTTCAAACCTTTATTTCTGTTAAATGTGATGAGATTTACTTGCATCTAATGAAAACATGACATTGAAGATTAGGATATTGTAAATAACCATTTTTTCCCACAGACATGTGGGCTAAATTAAAAATATATTTCAATATATTTAAAAGTTCTTATTTTCAAAACATTCCTTTGATCTGACAAATGAGTCCCATGAGAAAACGTATCCTAATTCACTGAATGTCTACCTTTAAAATAATATGGTGAAAATAGATGGCTGGTTGGTTTTAACCGAGTTAATATTTTGTATCGATGTTCAGGAATCGACCTGCTTGGTGGAATAATCCCAGAACTTTGCCTCAAACATCCCGATCTGCATTTCTTAATTGGGGGCGAGGGACCGAAGAGACTCGTGCTGGAGGAAGTGAGAGAAAAATACCAACTTCATGACAGGTACTGCTGGACGGTTACATCCAGGGACAAGAGTTCACTTAGTTTTGTCTGTTAGGGGCACAGTTTGTATTACAATCATTCCTAAGAAGAATGATTTTTCTAGAAAAATCACTGCTAAAAATGATAAGGTGTTGTAGAAGTAACATTTTATCTCCTGGTTAGACTTGGTTAGACCTGCTCTGTCAGTGTGGCTCAAAAAATGTTTGAGCTTAAATCTGTCAATGTTTCTTTTTGGCATATAATCAAGATGAGCATTTTCCCGGAACTACTTTTGAGTTTTTCTTGGCACTTCTTTGTGAGACTGACTGTAAGTGCAGACGTTGCCCTCACGAAATGCATCTGATTTGTGTTAACCGTTTTCCTGCAGGGTTCGTCTGCTTGGTGCCCTGGAACATAAAGACGTGCGGGGCGTCTTGGTTCAAGGTCACATCTTCCTCAACACATCGCTGACCGAGGCCTTCTGCATGGCCATCGTGGAGGGAGCCAGCTGTGGGCTGCAGGTGTGCTCTCACTCAAAGCTTTGTCAGGGTTATTAAATCGGAAGGATTTTACAATAACAATCCTAAAGACAGTCTAAAGAAGAAGTGCTTTCCCTTTCGAATGAGAAGGGAATCCCTAAAAGAAAAGCCAATTCCATGTTCGATGGAAAACTAGTCTTGTTTAGTCTTGTCTGTCTGAGAAAATTTCACTTCTGTTTTCAGTGTGGTTGCGTTGGCACATGTTTCACATTATTGTGTTCCACTCTGGTCAGGTGATGCAACAACAATTGCAATAATTTATGTGAGAACACAAAGCACACTTTTAATTGTAAGTCGGGTCCACGTGTTCCCGGAAGCAGCTGTTATAACTCAATATTAGGTTAATGATTCAGAAAAGGCTAAGCTGTAAATATGATTTCAGTTCATGCAGTATCCATTTCAGCTTGTAAAGAAACATTAACACAGTTTCTGAACAGTGCGATAAATAGTGATATTTTTACGAATACGAGTGTATATAATGATTTAATGAAGCAGCAACGTAAATGAATGCACATCTCAATAATCAGCTTTTTGGTAACAGTGGAGGTCAGCTGTGCATATTCAAACGAAAACTGGATTATGCAAGTGGACATTTGCATCACAACATCTGACGACAATACCAGAGGAAATGATCCGTTTGGTGGCTAACCTAGCATGTGGGATTGTCTCATAAACCGAACAGCTGATGATAAATGTTGCAGACGTAGCACTAATATCTTCTATGCCACGTTTAAAGCATTGCGGGAGCAGTCTTCCCTCCAATAAACTGATGGTTGATTTTTAAAACTGGGTCTAGAGCATCCGGTGACTCGTTCAGATTTACTTATGTAGCAAAAAAGACTAAAAACTATTCACTAAGAAGCATATTGCTCAACCTGGAGATCCCCAGGCTTTTATCTGATATGCTGATCTAGAAAAACAAAACCAAGATTATTGTCAATAAAATGACAATTTATTTAAGATAACAAAAGACTTGTTCTGTTTTATGTTGGGTTTTCATAGTTCTTTTGTCTTTCTTGTAATGATTTGAAGATTTTTTGTGAAGTTACCACAAAAACCTCAATATATTTTGTTAGGTTATTATGCGACAGACCAACACAAAGTGGTGCATGATTATTAAGAAAAAGTTAAAGGATAATTATTTTTTGTTTACAATAAATTGAATTCTGAAGAATGTAATGTTTGTGTTCAGTATTTTGCAGAAGTAAAAGTCGCTTCTCGCGTAGCTGCAGATCTTTTGGGTTCTGTATCTGCCAGCTTTAGAAACTTAATAGACTGGACATTTTCACCGTTCTTCTTAGATCTAGCTTTAGACTTTGACTCGGCCATGCTTCGGTAGGTTTGTAGATGAGTTGTACTTGACTCGTGCTGGAGGAAGATTTGGCCCACGAACCCTATGTGTGACACCTATGCTCCAAGGCCTCCAGAGAAAAGCTGCATTTCCACTGAGATTACACACAGGAGAACCATGTTCATCCATTACACATTTACAAGAAATGTAAATGCTCTTGATTTTGATTAGAACTGTCATAGTAAAGAAAATTATGACACCTGCTCCGTTTTTTCCACTTTATTAGTGCGACGATTTATGATACCAAGAAACTATTTTGAGTCATCTAAGGTAATGACATGTCTGACTCAAGGAGATCCTGAACATAAGTTTCTTTTCCTTTAGGTGGTGAGCACTCGCGTGGGTGGAATTCCTGAGGTGCTACCCGAGGATCTGATCACGCTGTGTGAGCCGACCGTTCGCTCCTTGTGTGCCGGTTTAGAAAAAGTAATTGCCAAGCAGAGGTCCGGCTCGGTGCCCTCACCTGCCTCCATCCATTCTCGGGTGAAAAACCTCTACACATGGAAAAATGTGGCCGAGAGGACCGAAAAGGTAAGGCTGTAAAATAAAGCAGCATCCTCTGACTGTATCTGGGAGATTCCAAGGAAAGATAAATGAGTTTTTGGAGAAAGTGGCAGGCATGTCAGCTTGTTTTAGGTTGGTTCTTGTTAGAACTTGAAATGAATGCATGTATCTGTTGTCACGTTTACAGACAAGTAACCTTTTGTTTTTGCAGTAGCATAATTTCAAACCCCCCAAAAATAGAAAAATACAACCTTTAATCAATTAATTGTTTTAAGACATCTTTGCCAAGCGCCGCAAAAACATTTGTACATTCCTGGGGAATACTGCAAGAAAACAAAATTGGGTCGAATTGAGATTCTAAAGGTTGTAATTCAATTGATTCAGAGCCAAATCCTAAGAGAAAGTAGACAGCTCTAGCCATAACAAAGTGGGAGTAAAGGTTTATTGGACTGAGAGTGCTTCGATCACACACATTCTTTTACAACTTCTGAGATTATATTTCATCATATTTGGCATATCTCATATCAGATACATTTTGTTTGTTGAAGCGGCACAATAAAAAAAAAAAAACATGTTGCAACCAATGGGAATAAAATCCAGGAAATTATTTATGAGCTCGTTTTACAATATAATTTAGGTACAAGGACATTTTCCTGGATAAGACACAGTCAGACGTCACATTTATTGTTTTTTTTTTATCCTCTAAGAAGCACAACATTTTTGGAGATAATTGGGTGATAATGATCCAACATGTGTTTCACTCTCTTGTAAGTTCAAACATTACCTTGTATTAGGCAGGTGCTGACATGCTGACTTTTGTAATGAAAACTCACACTTTGCAAAACCAACAGAGCCTGCTCTGTTTTTCCAACATGATTATGTTAGGTGGATGATCTCATTCCAAATGCCAACTGTTTATGTTCTCCTTTCTGTACGTGAGAACAGACAGAAAGGATGATCACTGACAGATAAAGGTAAATGCTTTACAGTAATTGTCGCTGTTCCCTTTCACCACCCAGGTGTATGACAGAGTAGCTGGAGAAGATGTGCTTCCACTGGACAGGAGGTTACGGAGACTCAGGTCTCACTGCGGCCCTGTTGCAGGCTCCATCTTCGCCCTTTTGGCCGTGCTGGACTTCCTGCTCCTGCTGCTCCTGCGGTGGTTGGCACCCGACCGGCACATGGACACGGCTGTTGATGCCACAGGCCCAAATGGACTGTGGAAGGAGAATAGGAAGAGCAGCGATGCTGGTTGCTAATGTGCCATGAAGCGAGTATCGGAAACGAAAACTTCTTCTCTTCAGCTCTTGACAGCGTGTTGCAGGAGTCCAACTGAATGTGCTCAGGAGAATCCTTAACGATGTTTACATTTTATTATCAAAAGGGAGTTTGTGTTAAAAGGTGTTTTTGCACTTCTTAAAGATTCATACACCCATATGATTCAGTGCAAAAACGTCCTTCTTTGTTTCTTTATACTTCATTTAAAATAAAAGGAAGTATGAAGAAACTTCTTTTAAAATTGATTTAAACTGGCCCTGATTTGTACATCTGAATTTTTTGGGGGTGGAATATCTTCATAGTTTTTTATATTTACAATTTTGCAGCTTGACAGTTTATTTCTGATCCTTATTTTCTCTCGTCCACATTGTCTACTTTTGACGTATTTGTTGAAACTGTCACTATGTCATAACACTATGGTATGAAACAGATAATCTGTGAAAAAAAGGGCTCCTTTGTCTTCTCCCAGTGCTCCCAGTGATAAGTACAAACAGCCAATCAGAGCCAGGAGGCAGGTCTCAATCACAAACTAGTGTGGCGCTACTCATCCTCTCCCTGTCCTTCTGCTACGCTGCTGCTAGCAAAGCCTGTTGTGAATGCTTATTATAGTTAGCGTGGTCATTGATGATGATGGATAAATGGTTTTTCTGTAGCGGTTAAGTGGTTTCTCCCCCATTAGCACATTTAGCAGTGAGCACATGTGGATGATTGACAGCACTAAAACCCTCCTCCCGTTCTGGATTGGTTGGTATTGATCAGGTAGCTCTGGGAAGAGGTGCAGGAGATTGATCTTTTCAGAGATAATCGATCTCATAACCTACTGTCACAACATGGTGAAATCATATTGTTTCCAAAAGTTACATACTACAGTCTTGACTCATTTTTAACCACATACTGCCCAAGTACCAGAACTGCATACTGCTTCTTAAAATAAGCACAAAAAAGGAGGGAGAGTCCAAAGGAAACTGTTGATGAATAGACCAAGACAACTGTAAAAACTTGAGACAGAAATCTGACTCTCTGAAAAAGAAGCATGAAGAACTCAGATTTTAAACTTTTGCACAGTGCCATTATTGCACAGAAAGAAAGGGGAATGGAAAACATATTTAAATCTACAAAGAACAAAAAATTATCTGGTGGACCTTGTTGTATGATTTATAAAATATACTTTTATAAAAAAGTTTTATGTCATGAGAGTTTTTATCATTTGACCTAAAATCAATCTAGGAAATAAAAGTACTTTTACATTTTAAAATTGTTGCAACTTGTCGTTTTAATTTTTTATTTTCTAAAGTTCAAAGATGCTTTTCCAGACGAACGCATGAAGTTAAAACAGTAACCTGAAAGAAAGCTAATTTTGACAATCATGATTGATGCGTAAAAGCAATAAAAGAGCGTAAAACATCCACAGGCACTAATACTTTTCATAGGCACGCTAGGATAGAAAGCTATAGCCCAAGGCTTTAATGCCTCACAGATGTCAATCAATCAACCAATCTGATGATCCACAGATCAGTCAAGAAGGTCAAGGTAACTGGAGGAGCTGCAGAAATTTACAGCTCCAGAATCTGCAATCGTATGAAGTCATGCACTTCATCCGAACTTCTACTTGCAGTTTTCCTCAAACCAATAGGAGATGTAGAGAAAAGCAGACTTCAATTTTACAGCCTAAAAGCAAAACACTAAAAGTGTGGCGTATAACTGACTCTGCACATCACCATGAACGCACCATGCCCATAATGAAGCATAGTGGTAGTAGCATTATGCTGTGGGGATGATTTTCTTCAGGGACATGGAAGCAGGTCAAAGTTAAACTCAGCTCTCAACCCAATCAGTGATTATTTTTGTAAGGCCTTCTACATCTGGTTGTATAGATTCCTTAACTAATGTTGTCAAACCAATAACATAAAAACATCACTTTCTCATTTCACTGAAATAGATCCAAGAATTCAAACAATGTTTTTGTTGACCCTCATTCTCAAAACCTTCACAGTGTAGCAGAGTTGTAAGAGTGTATTCGCTGTACTTCCATCCCTATTGTGCCTGTCGACCCCCCAGATCGCATACACAATGCATTTCTCTTCATATGCACATGTAGAGGTGTTTTCACCTCTCCAGGACCGTTGTAACTGCTATTTTTATTTAAGTCTTGGCCAGAATCCTGAGAAGCTGAAGCGTGGGGTCGGTGACCAGCCACCTAGATAAGAGTGGGAGGAAGGCCGAGTTCAGGTTTGTGTTTCCTGAGAGTTGAAGGAGTTTGTTGCTCTGTGACTCTCATGATGGCCACTATTTCCACGAGGTCCCAACCTTTGCAAAGCCGTTTGTACATCTACAAAGGCCTACCATGCAACTCGCTGATGGCTGGTGAGTCTTTGTCTTTGCTGATTTCTACTGTGGTTGCTGGTCGTTACTTTGTGCCGCCTGCAGCCTCTTCCTTAGCCAAGCAAAACTGTGGTGGATGTTTTCCCCTGAGTTCAGGACTTAAAAGCTTTCATTGCTTGACAATCACAATCTCAAAAGAATTGTCAGTCACTTTGGGGTTGTTGCTTGTTGTGTTTAAAGACTGTCTTGTTTTTTTGTTCCTGTCACAGATACGTGTTCAGACAGAACTCCCCTACATGAGGCGGCCTATCAAGGCCGACTTCTTCGCCTCATGACTCTCATGGCTCAGGTAAAAAACGGTTCTGTGCTAGGAATTATCTTTCAACGACAAGATGGATTGGAAAAAGATGACAGATTTAAACTTTTGTCTGCAGGGCTTCCAGGTAAACACTCTCACCCTGGATGGAGTCTCTCCTCTTCATGAGGCTACGCCTGTGCCAAAGTCCTCTTAGACAATGGTGCAAATGTAAGAAATGTTATTCTGCCTCAGAGTTGAACATGATGGTGTTGTGTAAATGTAGAGTTGGATCCAGTCACAAGACTACACTCATGATTACCAGGATCGGCATATCAGATTGGTTCTTCTTCGTTTTATTGATATAGGGTTGACTGTCCCTTTACAGGTTATAGAGAAACAAAAGTAGAGAAACCACTTTCGTTTCTTGCTTCAGACTGAATTTCTAAGTACGGACTCCAGTTTTTAATGGGATTGTGTTCGGGATCCGTGTAGAACTTTATTGTTACCCGAATTAAAGTCAGTTTATTGTGGTGGGTTTCAGATCATTATCTTGTTGCCCTTAAGTGGGGTCAAGTTTCAACTATCTACCTTCTGATTTGAAGCTGACGAACTTGGTGTTAGCTGTCTTTTTTTCATTCATTTATCCACTTAAACCAGCAAAACCAGTGTTGAAATGAAGTCGACAGCTTGGGAACATTTTCTGACTGTTGTCTCTTGTGTGACCATTCGGCTTCTTGTTCTTCCATGTAGATGTCTGCAAATTTCAGTCAGTCTTATTTATTTTGGAGCAGAGTTGTTTTTCTTGGTCTGCAAACTCAAAGTTTATGTTACTAAACCCACTTCAGCGCAATAATTTAATGCGATGACAAATTTGAACTTTGATGACTTTTGAATCTCTAATGCATCTTAATCCATCCGGGCGTTCCAACAAAAACACACATCAGCACAAATCTGTGACAGGCTGCTATTAAGTTTGGGGAAAAAAGCCTTCCCAGCCCCCAAAATGTGTGAGCCTTGTTTGAAGTTAAATGAGCTTGAGCTCTTCTTTCAAGATGAGTGATCAAATATCCTGCTTCTGTTACGCTGGAAGCTTGTAAATGGCTGCAGATGGCTCAGCCGAGTGATAGTTTGTAAGGGGGAAATATCTGTGATGGAGTGTGTTTTTAGAGTTCAACATTACGCATATTTTTGATCCTTTGTGGAAAAACGACAAGCCGCGACACGTTTAAACTTTTGCACCCTATTCCTATTAGTTCATCTGGAGCTAAAACAGTTTTTTTTTTAATTGTCAAAATTACAATTTAATGACATTTGTGATTATAGTGGCTGTAATAAATCTGTACCTGTTCCAAGAATTTATTGTAACACCCAAAATGATTCTCCGTGTAAATATTATCACCTATTTTTCAAACACACAGCATGTATTTAGTTAATTTCAAACATTTGAAAGTTTAATAAACACAGTTTCAAAACAACAAAAGTCAAACTGCACATAAAAAAAGGAAAAAAGAAAAGAAAGTGAAAGTATTTATTTGTATGTTCATTATTTTATATTTTCTGGTCAAAGAAAAATACATTCATGTACAACAAAGTTTTTTTTCTCTCTCTCTCATCCAAACGTTTAAAATTCATAATGTAAGCATTTTCAGGATTTAAATATATACTGCAACTTTGGGTGAAACTTTGGGGAAATCTGGTAAACAGATTCTCTTTCCCCCTGTCAGGCTGCGGCGCTGTCAGCAGAGGGCGCCACACCTCTCTTTAACTCCTGCAGCAGTGGAAATGCGGCTTGTGTCAGACTCCTCCTGCGGCGCGGAGCCTCCATCCACACCGACCAGCGGCTGGCTTCACCCGTCCACCAAGCTGCTAAAAGCGGTCTGTGGGTGTCAAAAGCCATGAGCATAAAGGTGCGAATTGTTTCAGCGCAGGTTTTTGTGAGGCTGTGTCTCTCTCCGTCCAGGTCACAGAGAGTGTCTGGAGCTGCTGCTGCTGTCGAGCGGAGCCCAGATTGATTGTGAGGCACCGGGCGTGGGGACCCGGGCGTGGGGACCCCGCTGTACGCCGCCTGCAGGGCTCCGGCGACGGACTGCGTGGCGCTGCTGCTGCGTTCAGGTGCATGAAGAAACGGAGTGACCAGGAGGAGGAACCTTTTGCAAGGCCTCACGAGTTTACCTTTCAGCCTCTCACTCATGTTGGTTTAACTTGCGGTCAAAAAAAAAAGACAAAAAGGTCACCTGTTGGATTGTAATCTGTAAGGATTACAGATTACAAGTGGCCTTAATGAGTCTCTGACGTCAGAAAGCATGTGGCAGACAACAGTGGAAATGAACCTCTCTTTCCACTGTAAATACTGTAAATTTGTAATTACATTGATCTTGATCATATTTTTCAAACTTATGAATGTCACTCAAGAAGAAATTCCCCAATAATGAGAATACTTTCTAAATTCACTCTATATACAAAGTGAGTACAAATAATTGTTTACTGCTGTAGCTCCATATAGCAGTAATCAAAGTCCCTGTAGTCACGCCACCCAAATTTCCCATAGTAAATCCTGTCCGAGATGGGAGAGGATGGCTGATGACTTAACTTTTATGAGGAAATAAAAACTAGCATTATCCTGCTTTTTAAGGGATAATGTTACATATTTTCCAGGCACATAGTGCCATTTTATAGCCCAATCAAATAACCACGTCACCCTCAGTTGTTATAAAAATCCGGTGTATATCAGACGCGACTTAAAAGAAATTTGTCTTTGAAATTTGTCACCTTGAAACTGGTGACGAATTCACCAATTGTGAAGGTGACACTTCTCTTGTAGAACTGAGAATAAAATTGTTGAATTCAAAGCGTTTGTCAACATCAAGATTTCTTCTCTGACTTTAACCATTATTATTTGAAAAGATTTTCGACACATATCTTATTTTTATTTCCCAAAATTCACTCGTGATTTATGAATTGCTGGCGGGAGCTCAGATGTCGTCTTTGTGTGTTTATGACGGAGATGTCTTGTAAAAAGAGGCTGTAATGGTGGTTTTTGTAATCGTTTGTCTTGGCAAGAGAAACAAATGTCGTGCACAGGGTTGGAAGATAACATAAGAAAACACTCGAACAAATGAGTTATTCTTACATCCTGAATAATTTAAATTGACGTGATCATTCGGGAAAAAAAAATGTTAGTTAATATAGTTTGTCTAATTTTGATGTATTTTAATAAAAACAAGAACTATTCTCTGATTTGAAGACTGATTGAACAAAATCACACAAAAAATGTATTTCTCGATTGAAATTAAGTGCAATTTTGACTCCCTCTTTCCCCAAGACAAAGACGTATTTCTGCCAAATTTCCTTGAAGAAGCCAACTATGTGCGGTCGTCTAACAAAACTTCAGATTCAGTCGTGGATTTGTTCCTGCACTGCCGGGGTGATTTTCAGCCGGTATGCCGTCTATTTGTCCGTCCCCCCTCCGTCCTTTTCCATGGAAACAGAAAGCAGTGCTTCACAGTTCACAGCAGCAGACATTTCAAAGCTTTTCCAGTCGTCTTAATTTGCAGAGCCGTCAGATGTAAGGAGAAACCATTTGACGTTGTATTTATAGCTCTAATTAGTGTCGATGTTTCTACTCCACCATTACTTACTGTACATGCCTTTATTTGCTCGTACTTCAAATGGATTTTATTTCGTCTTCATTCTGATACTGAGAGTTTTTTTCCTGTTTGTGTACATGCAGGTGCAGATGTTGGCTCTGGGTGTGGGCAGATCAGCCCTTTGCATGCTGCGGTTTGTGCTGGAGAAGCAGACATTGTTAAACTTCTCCTGGACTTTGGGGCAGACAGAGCCAGCAGGAACACAGAGGGAAAAACGTCTCTCGATCTGTCGACACCAAACGGTGCGATTCGAATCGCTCTGGAGAGGAGAGGTGTGTGGAGCAATCTACTCGCCTTCATTAACTCCCTGAGAATTAAGCTTGAACATGCCTGGTTTTCTCTCTCTTTATTGTAGCTCCCTGCTCTCTGTCTGAGCTTTGCCGTTTCTGCATTCGCCGCAGTCTCAGGCGAACTCGTCCTGCAGCCTCGTCCTTCCTCACAGGATGCAGAACTTCCTCCTCCACAAATGACACATCTGTTTGCTCCATACACCTCCCGTCATCGATTGTCCATGTAAAATAGTTACAAAGGAATAATATTCTCAAAACTACAACTGCACACTTGTGTATTTTAGGATAATCTTGCTTTTAAAATTTGATATTTAAGCTCTACTGACAGGTCACATTTGAAATGACTCAGACGTTGCATGTTTGTACTTCAAGTAAATCTGTCTGTTTAACATCCATCTCTTTGCAAAACCTTTAAAAGGTGAACACAACCAGTCGCATATCTGGATGTTCCCTTTTTTTTTCTTTGTTGAACTGTTTTCTGAAACCTTTGTGGCTCCACAGGGAGCTGTCTGAATGCCAGATAAATCACAGTCTGTTGTGGCTGAAGAGAAGAAGAGCGGACAAAATGAAAGAAACATTTTGCTGAGTTTTTAAAAAGTGAGGCTTTTAGAGTTATGTTATATCTGCAGTTGACTTCAATATAAACTTATCTCAGCATACTAGATGTCTCAGCTGTCTGCTACGGTACAAACATGCAGTTTTGAATTTGTACTCAGTACATCTCAACCATAAACCAAATAAAAATATTAGACATAAAGGTCAAATCATGACAAAAGTAATGTACCGTCTCTAGACTCAGCAGAATACTGTGAATGTCACGTACTTGGACTATTTTACTTTTAAGAACAGGAGTGACATACAATCAAAGATGTCTAATAACTCATGATTAGTCTTGATTTATCACAATATTTGTTTAATTTTGTCATGTTTTCATGCACATAAAAGTGTGAAATTGGTATAGAAGATACAGCAGAAAGGAAGGACCTTGGGACCCGTACTCCCAATGACTCCTAAGCCTGAAAGTACTTCCTTACTCGTCATTCTTAGAGTTTTACTTCAGTCAGCATCTTAAACCTTAAGAGAGCTCCTAAAGTGATCAAATATTGGAAGTAGTGAGGATTTTAAGTTGCCTTAAAAGCAGGTGGAAAGAAAGGAGCGGGCACAGCATGTTGATGCTGTTTGGCAATTAATAAAAGTTTGCATAGCTTCATCATCATAACTCACTTTTCTTAATCCAGTTCAGCTTGTCTGATCGGTTCATTTCAATCAACAAATGTGGAATGACCTTCAAAAGGACGCTTATTCTAGAATCATTTTTTACACAATTGTGTATGTTTGGACTTTTGACCATCCTTTATAATAAACACCTTCATTTAAAAACTTCACTTTGAGGTTACTTGTGTTATCTTTGAATAATATTTAAATTGATTCGATGTTCTAAACCACTGAAGTGTGACAAGTATGCAAAAAGAGAGAGAGAAATCACTAAATACGTTTTCACACTATGTTCTGTTTCTCTGGTTTCTCTGAGCTTCAACATAAATGATCATTAAAAAAAAGCAGCAGAAGATAATATGAATTAATGAACTATGCCATTCAGATAGGAGAAAAGGTTGGAGTATATTTTTAACCTAAATTGGTTTTTCATCATAGGGTTGCTTTAAAAATCTTTTACATAAACCAAATAAAAACCCATAGAAAGTATTTTGGGAACTGAGGTTAGTAACAGAGAATGACAACAATTAAAGAGGAGGAAAAGATTTTTTAAGAAACTGAATAATAGCTTCCATACAAGACAGACTAATGAAATATGGAATATTTTCGAAGTGGCCCTTAAAGTGCTTCACATAGAAGTAAAAGCAAGAGGAGAATGCAGAGCTTTTTGGATGTACAAAACAACAACAACAACAAGAAGTTCAATAGCTCTGAAGTGATGGATGGAAATGAGTTTTTCTGATAACTCTATGGTTAAGGGGGCTGACTCAGTACTTCAGACCTAAACCCAAAGGAGCTTTTAAAACAGGTAATACAATTCAAAGAATAAAGTCTATTTCTCACAAGAACCAAAAACTCAAGTGGTTTGTGAATCAATCACAAAGTGGTTTCTTTTGCGTCTGTGAATCGACTGAAACCCTCAGCAGCTGGTTGGGGTTTCGGTGCCATACAAAGTTCTGACTACATTTGCGTGAAACAGATGTAATTGGTTCCTGTTTCCTGCTTATTAGTTGCACTGCTGCTGTAGTCTTGGAAACAGGCAGCTCCATTTATTAAGAACTAACATTAGATCTAATTAAAGATGGAAGGGTGGTCTGGAGCAAGACTCAGAACGACAAAATTCAGGGAACAAAAAGGTGTTATTTTTGCAGCGTAGGACTGTGAAGGAGTAATCTGATTATTACCGAGAAAAGCCTGAGTCAGGTCTAGAGATGTGCAGGTATACGGGTCAGTTTTATCCTGTGCATTGACAGATTGGTCCACCATGTTGTGTCATGATATTACCGGAAATGACTGAATTTACCTTGGTGAAAAATATGAAAATGAACAAGAGGTGTTCAAGTGACGTGCGGTCAGGTGAGGCCGAGCCTGTCATCGTGGAAAAAAAAATATTAGAATTTTTCATTTAGCTTAGCCAATTCTGATCATTTTTTTTTTCTTCAAAATTTCTGAATTTTTGCATTTTCCCATTTGAAAGCTCGAAAGCCAAGCTGGTGAAGCAGCAGGGAGCTGAGCTTCACCTGGAATTGATCAACCTCTGCATTGGCTGTCAGTCGATGATATTTTCCTCCTGTCTATACTTCGCCAATAAAATGGCTAAAAAACATTTAATATATGAACTGATTTTCTATAATTTAGCAACGAGTCTGCGTGTGTGGCGAGAAAGAAGTGGGTTTGAATTGCGATTGAACGCCTTTTCCCTTTGCTGTGGTGCGCAGCACGAAATCAACGACGCCAACGATGCGGGCTTTCTGCTCCTTGTTACACCAGACATCCACCAGCAGTGATACTGATCACTAGCAGCTACTGATCTTAGGCAGGATTTTGTTCAGGCAACCAAATCCCTCAGTCGCAGGTTGCTACAAACCACAGTGGCCACACTGGCACACCCCGCTAGAGGGAAACAAAGGCACCCAGTGCAACACTTTCATTCTATTGGTTGATAGGTTGCCAGGAGACGGTGCATTTTTGTTCCTGAAGCAAGCAGAAAATGTTTCGTGAGGGAGCAGAGCGTCCCAGCAGATGTAAGAGTGCGAGGAAAAGACTTGTGTACAAGCAATACAAGTTTTTAGAAGAAAGACGTGAAGTCCTGCTTTCAAAATGAAAATGTAAGCAAAAGTCTTAAAGGTTTTGATATCAAAATACATGAAATCCTGCTTTCAGACTGAAAATGTGTGCTCCTAGATTATAGCAGAAAAATTCTCCCATATTAAAGACTTTAGGATACCATAGGGCATAAAAGAGCAAAAGGTCAGATTACAAATTAAATGAAGCTGAGGAAATTAGTTGAATCCCCCTCTGCTTCGTTTATTTGTCTCTCAAGATGTGTGTGAGAAATTCAGAACACCTTGGGGCTTTGCTCTCATTATGTCTGGTACCACCATCATGCTAATGTGTTGTTTTTTTGTTTAATTTTTTTTTCAGATTTACATCTCCCTTAACAAAGATTTACAAACAGAAACAAAACCAAAACTGAGGCTTGCAAAGGAGTGAAGGGTGAGCGTGTTTGGATGCTCTGTGTTTGGTGGCTGGTGTTGCTCAAGGGGAATTAATTTCCAAATGCCACTCTGAAAGGTCACCTCAGTAGAGACCTGAAAAATGCTATCCGGGCAGATTTGAATCGACAAGGCTTTAGCTAAATAGCGAGGGAAAAACCTCAGCCTTCAGAAGAACTGCTTGAAAGAGATGTACGCTGCTTTGCGACCTGTTTTTCCATTTCTGTAACCTTTGCTGGAGTCGCTATTAAAGCAAGAAGACCAGTATTTTATTGGTGGATGAAATCAATTTGAAGGTGTTGCAGGCCTTTCGCAGCGAGGTTACATTGAAGTTACAAGAAGATGGTCCGACCAGTCGGTGTCTGTCATTTTTACTCTGGAGAGTAATTCAACACTTTACGTATCCATTCAGATGTGCTCCTCTGCGGGAGAAGATAAGACAAACATTCTCAGGGACTGTCTTACGTAAAAAATCAATTCAGCTTAAAGCTTTTTTTTTTTTAAAGTAATTATTCCTGATTACCCAGGAGACAGCATCACAATGAATCTCTTGAAGTGGGAAGTAAGATGAAATACAGACAAAAGTGTATTATAAAGAAACGTCTTTAAAATTTATCTTACTCAAACAGCATACATTTGAGATATATATATATATATATATATATATATATATATATATATATATATATATATATATATATATATATATATATATATATATATATATATATATATATCTTTAATCCTGTGAATAACAGAAGGATTTTACAAGTGCAGGCTGAACTCCAGCAGAGTGGACGACTTGTCACCATTTGTTTGGTGTTCATGGACAAAATCTCAACACAGCAGCAGAGATGAGGGCGTCTGGTCTGGAAACCGGCAGGCCCCATGTTTGGATTTTGCACACACTGTTGTTCTGTTGGCATCGGTTCAGGCATCTGGTCGGGGAAACTTCTGGGCACATCTTTGTAGGTGTTTACTCTTCGTGTCCCATTTGAAGCCGACTCAGAACTGGAAAAAGCCTGGAATCTCCAGAACACATCCTCAAAATGCAGGCAATGAGTTCATGCTGAGCCTGTCGATTCAGTACAGTTAATCAGTCTTTATGTTTTCTGTGTGCTCTGTTTTATTTTTTATTTTTTTGTTTTTCTTGCATTTCCTCTAAACTTACAGACTTTAGCTAAACGACAAAGACCAAGCAAGATCAGATTTAATTAATTCGACAGGTGCATGAAAACCTAAATGCAGGATTTAGTATTGACATGCATTTTTTCACAATTAAAGTCTAAATCTTCTTTTTTCTTTATTACTTTCAGTCTTTAAATTAGATTTCTCATTTGCAGGATTACATTTAAGAGACACAACCAAGAAAGTAAACAGTCCATCATCTGCAGCCATGATTGTGGACTGTAGATCAAAAACTAAGACAATCTTCAGTTTTCATGAGCAGCAATACAGCAACCCTCAACAGAGTTTATGTTGGTACAATGTCAACAGCAAAAAAAAGGGCTTTAAAATCATACGAGATTTAGGAAACTCCATCTGCACAAATTTATTCATTTAACGAAATCTAATCAGTGCAGAATTTTGATGAAACCAGCCGCCTCCGCCGCCCATCGATAAAACAAACTCCCTCAAAATCTGACGTGTGCAGACACAGACGGCTCTTTTAAATCAGGATGAAAAACAGAGTTTACAGCTGCATTTCAGTAAATGGCTCCTTTTTTGACTTCAAGTTATGCTTTCAAATCGCCTTTTTGAAAATTATACTCAACGTCTTCGTATTTACAATGTATTTTGTGTTTCTCTTATCTCTGTTCCTTTGTTTTCTGTGAAGCACCTTCTGTTGCCTGTCATATGAATGTTGCTTTACAAATAGTTACCTCTTGTCTCAGTCACAAAATCTCTGCATGTAGCATCACCTGAGCAATGAAAACCTCAAATTGCCTCAGATTAGTTATTCATGCTCTTTGCTAAGTGACATATTTCTGCAGCTGTTCATAAAATCAGTGTGTCTTTTCACAAGTGGAAGACATTATTTACAGACGACTAACTATCAATGATTTAATATAATATCTGGTTTCAGATATTAGACCATTTACAGAGGATTTCCTAAATTGTTTCCTCCTCTTTGGCTCATCCTCACGCTAAGAAACTGTGAAGTTGTAAAACATGTTCACTAAGTCGGATCATAGAGTTTAAATTCGTCACTATATAATTTATGTGGATGGTTTGTGCAACGCCCATGTGTTATGTTTTGTTTTTGTTTTGGATGTTTAACTTGATCGCTGTCTGAATAATCAACATATAAGTCAAAAATGTTTTGTAGTTTCTTTTTTAATTTGAGTCAAATGAGAAAGGACTACAATGTGATAATTTAAACAATGACAATAACAATACTCTACAGAAGCAAAGCCAACAAAGACATCATCAACTCAGACATCACAGTTAGGTCCAAAATGGTCCAACAATTCTTGCAAAATGAAAAATATAAAAACTTTTTTTTTTTTAAATACAGAACATTCAGTAATTTAATAACAATTCAGGTGAAAAGAAGAAAAATATTTCCCTGGTTTTGTTTTTAATTGAGATGTTTTACTCATGGAAAATATTTTATTTTCAACTCTTGAAATAATTGACTCAACTCTTGATCGTGAAAACGTTACTGTGCATATTACCCATATTTGAACATATAGATTACCACTCATGTAATACGAGCTGCGTAGAAAAGATGCTCCACGGAGTGACGGATGTTTGCGTTGTGTGAACTGTAAGCACAGAGGATGAAATGGTTTAAAACATGAGTCAAAAACCGGCAACGAAGCTCCAGCAAGGCCAAAGCTGAAAATCCACTTTTGGTTTGATGTGGTGATTTGACGCGACCACCACATCAAACCAAAACATGCAGAATAAAGGAACAGTCTGTCTGGTTTATCAGTATGGGAGCAATAAACACCCCTTTATTTGCATTACTTAAATCTCTTGCAAAACCACAATTGACACAAGCAATGCTGTTGGACTTAAGTTTATATTTAACATTCAGGGAAAACCTCCAACAGAAATGATCCATTCCCACCATGGACTATTGTACCAATAGGGTCTAAAATCAACTTTACTGATGTTACTTTCCTTTTCCAACAAGCTGAGAACAATTTACCAACATATCCAAGAGAAGAATCAAAGGTAGCACAGTCCTTGTAACGCACACGTTGTGTTTGGTTGGGGGAAGCAGCACTCCTTCAGACGGAGGTCACGTTTGTGCTCGCGCTGTTCTGACTGTACAGCCGTCTGGGAGAGCTGCAGCACAGCAGCTGGTTCCTGAAGTGCTTGCTGAAGCTCTTGCTCATCAAGTAAAGCGCAAACGGATTCACGCAGGAGTTGGTGAAGGCCAAGATGCGAGCACACACGCTGGCGATAAAGTGAGCCAGCGACGTGTCCACCTGGTCGTAGTGGTAGGAGCGGTAGAGGTAGATGACGTGGCTGGGGAGCCAGCAGAGAGCAAACAGGCCGACAAACACCAGCACGGTTTTGGCCAGGCGCTTCCTGGACTTGATCTGACAGAAGAAGAAGAAGAAGAAGGAGGAGAAATTACACTTGAGTGTCTTCAGTAATTGTGTTACCATTTTAGCTTTAATTGGTTGTCATCAAATATTTGCCTACGCACTGATAACCAAGAGAGGCACACCTGTCACTTAGCGGAAAATTGGAGCAATTTATTTTAATCGTTCACATTGAATGTATTTCAGAGAAAATTGCCCAATTATACATCTGAAAATCAAGCAAAGGAGAGCATCTTACCATTTGAAAAGATGAATTCGTAGTATTGAAAATGGCCTACACAAAACCTAGAGTTTTGACCTACATTACTGGAGAAGCCCTGCTGACAGGGCTTCATTATTTAACTCTGGTTTTGAAGCCAACATAAATAAATTGTTCTCCGAACAAAAAATTGGTGACAAACCAGACTATAAAGGAACTTTTTAGCCTTCATAAAAAAAAAAAAGATGTCAAATGAGATGTTATGGTGCAGATCACCCAGAACGCAACATTTCCATGTTGAAACATGGCGGCCGCAGCATCATGCAATCATCCGGATTGGTTGGAGTCGATGGGAAGATCAAAAAAGCAGAGGTTATTTCAGGGTTTCCCCAGTGTATTATAGGCCTGGCGGCCCGCCAGGCTTTACTAGTCCCACCGCCAGGCTAAGCCTTTCTTGTTTATGTTTTTAGGAAAATAATACTAAAATAAAATAGCTTTTTTCTTTTAAGTCGAATTCCAAGTGTTTCTGTTGTTCTTAGCGTTTCTCTGGCAGAGCAGATTTATTCCTTAAAGATATGTTTATATATTGTTATTAGGCTTTACTTTGTGATGGTCTGTGATGGATACAATGCTCCTTGTCTGTATTTGTAATGTCACAAATATGGTGACATGATCAAGAGGTAACAATAGTGGAATAAGAGGAAATGTTACTGTACAGAACCTGTGTCGCTATCAGATTCAGTTTTATGCCCCAAGCTTGTGCACACAGGCAAGGAACATGATTCTGATTCCACTTTGCTCTCAGAAAACAAAAGCATTAAGAATATAAAGTGATTAAAAATAATCTCCCTGGATACAAGCGGGGAGCATCTTGTTTTCTCAGATACAAGCTGCCAAACTGAGCGTCCTCCTCAGAGGGGCTGGGTCTCTCCCTCAGAGGAAGTGGAGCTGCTGCTCCACACCGAAAGGAGTCAGCCGAGGTGAAAATAAAAAGAAGCTTTTTCTTCCAGAAATACTTAACTAGTAGCTATTTGTTCATTTTAGTCTGGACTAACACCGAACAGCATCTTGCAGATTTTCAAAAAGGAACAATTTGATTCACAGCTCTTAAGTGGTGAGATTTAGTCGATTAACTTGGAAACAAGACAACTACCGGAGGGAGGAAAAATCTTCTTTTCACCTCCTTTGAGATCAGCACTTCAGACATCATCACTTCTTTCTATAATCCATAGGCAATCAAGAGTGTAAAAGGCAAATCAGGTTAACTGTGAACCTTCTGGACCCAGAAGTTCGGAAAGCAACCAGAGCAACTGAAATACCCTGACAGAGACAATCTGTGGTATAGAAACACTTTTCAGGATTATTTCTAACAGGTCATTTCCTTTTTATTTGATTTGCACAAGAAAATTAGTCACAAAATAACCATCATCACATGCAGGTGCCTTAGCATATTGCTATTGGTTTCATATAGAATATGTGTGAAGTTCACATGGTGCTCTGTGAGTTTTGTTTTGAGCTGATCCACGTCCCTCATTTCCATTATTCCTTGCAGCTGTGTCGCTCCCTGATTCTATCCTTCTTAAGCCTCTCAGTCTCAACCACGCTGCCAGAATATCGAACGCTTTCAGCAAGTAGTTTTCCAGCACTCCCGTCTCGCCCTCATTGTCACAATCACGCTGTGGTTCCCTGGATTTGCCCTTTTTGTCTTGCCCTTGTCGGACTTTTGCTGACCGTCCATCTGGATCTCGACCCGGGCTCTTGCCCACTCCCACAGATTCTGCTCTCAGCCCCCATTGTGCATGACCTCGGCCCGTCTGACCAAGACTTTCCCGCCTGTCCATAATGGTGCACCTTTCCTTTTATACATCGATGTTCATTCTGTCTGACTTTTGCTTTCTTTGTTTGAGCAGCCTTCCTTTTCTGCTGACAATAGACCAGGGAGAAATTTGTATTCATTCATCAGATGGTGCTGCTACATCCAATATAAAAAACTATTACTGTGTTGTTTTGGGTGCAAAGCCTCTTGTCTGCAGTAAAGTGAAGAATGTCACTTTAAGTATTCAGTGAAGAAGCTCCACTCCAGACACAGCCTCAGACTCGATAATGAAAGAATAAAACTTGGAGTTGTATATTTTATGAATGCATATGCGCTGATAGTTGCTTCTTGTGAAAATAAGGGAAGATGAGACAATATGAAGCTGTGTTGCTGTTTGACAGAATGATAAATATCTTATGCAATTGTCCTGAAGGTCATAGGTTTAGCAGCAACCTCATAAAATCCCAATAAAGATGTTCTTTAAAAATGTATCCTTATGGCAGCAGCACAATCTTGCACTCAAGGTTGCTAAGCTCTCCAGAGATTGTATGGATTTGTCTTTATATATTTTTTTCCAGGCCTGGATGAGACAGAAAAATTTATTTTACACATTTAGTTTTATATGTGAATTGATCTTTACTGCACTCTATTTCTTGGTGAGTGTAAAAAATGATTTAATATTGACTTATAATAAACAGACGTGCTTTGCCTTCGATTTGCGTCTTTGCATTTCGAGATTTTACCCATCAGTTTATTGTCTTTTCACAGTCAATAAAAAGCCATTTGACCTCCTGCCTGATCCTGAAACAACATAAATTCAAACAGAGCAACTGAACTGTGGCTTTTACATTCGGACTAAAATGCCAAAATGCGATTCTTTTTTTTTTTTTCAGCTCACACAAACAAAATCCTCAGATTGTTTTTCAAATAGTCTGCATTTCATCCAGGAAAATCTATTCTCTATTTTGAAAGTTCCAAGATTTTTAGACTTTGAAATCAAGTTTAGAGAAATAAAAACCTTTGATTCGAGTTCATTTGTAAAGTGATCACAAATTCAGGTCAATTTTGGTTTCTTTGAAAATCCTCAAATATTACTGATGAATAATTTCTATAAAGTAAACACGACAGAAATTTTTGTTGAAGCTAGTACTTTTTTTCTTTTACTCTTTTTTAAGAGGAGCTGCAAAGTTTTTGGAAGAAATGGATCCATTAGTAACATCATATTTATACCCAAAGGAAGCAAAGACATCAATTTCTAATTAAAAGTTTAGAGAAAATCGGAACAGCTGTGAAAGAGCATTGATTTAAAGAGCACTGAGAAAGGTACAAACTGTCAAATTTGATTGAATTTCATTGTTTTATTAACAGAATAAATGTACGCTAATTAAATATTGTTTTTTTCAGTATGGGGTTTTGCTGCAGAAAAAAAATTCACTTTGTTTTGAGGGTTTTGAACAAGAGTTTTAGTTTTACTGCTTTCAGTGTTTATAGCATCTTTGTTTCATTGACGTGTCAGTTTTATCTTTTTTTCTAACAAATACCATTTATTTCAGTTTTCTAATCATCTTCCTATTGTGTTTTATTATCTTCTTGTTAATATGTTTAAATCTGTAGTAGTTTATAAGTCTTCATCAGCAGTGTGAAAAACTTTGTCCATGGTTTGTGTGAAACTGGGTCCTGTGTATTTGTTTCTTTGTGAGGTGAAAAGCACTTTTTACCTCTGAGAGATGAATTTTCTTTCAACGTTTTTTGCAGTGTGTCTCAAGTCTTTTTTGTGCTCAAGAGAGTCTTACATCGTCCTAAATATGTGACTAATACGCGACTAACGTTTCCCTGAGGCGTCCCGATCCACACCTGTTTGTGGAGATGCAGGTGTCCCTCTGCAGAGATGTCTGCGGAGCTCCGGATCAGGCTGCGAGCGATGAAGCAGTAGTAAACAGAAATGATGAGCAGAGGGATGATGTAGAAGACGAGGAAGGAGGCAGTGGAGTGGATCTTCGGATGCAGCTCTCCGGCGTGCGGGTAGGGGGCGCACGTCACAAACGTCACGTTGTAGCTGGTGGTGAAGGTGTGCAGATCGGAGAAGACGGCCTCGGGAATGGCCAGGGTGACAGAGAGCAACCAGATGGTCCCGACGCGCAGGCCGATGCTTAGAGTAGCGCTCGGTCTGTTGATGTCCAACGGTTTGACGATAGCTTTGTACCTGAGAAACGAAGAGCAGGGTGAAGCTGGCAGCTTTTTCTCAAAATCAGACAAATTCTTGTCCTTCAAGTCAAGAATTTGAAAGGAGTTGAAAATGTGCAAACCAAGAGAACAATCAATAAGAGTTAGCAATCGTTTAAATCTAGAATTAGGTTTATTGGTCCAATTTCGATGATTGCTTCAGGAAGAGAAACATCCATCAAGCATAGCACAACTAATAAAACTGTATTGGTCTCAGGGGGGGTAATAAATTAGTTCCAAGTTTTCACTTCAACTTACAATGGAAAAGCAACAAAGGAAAATTACTTAAAAGAGCAGAACCATCTGAATCTGTCAGCTTTCACCCCACGATAAAGCTGAAGAGACTCCATTTGTGGTCGAAATGTTGCCATTTACAATAACAAAAGCAGCTTGTGATTCTCTTCAGGCAATTACCCCATTTCCATCTTTTTCAGGTGGCTGATATAAAAACCCACTTTGAAGACATTTTTCCTGTGTCCTCTGTGGCTTCACTGCTTGATCCCTTAAGGCTTTCTCATAAAAAAGTGGAAGAGATTGGGAACAACACCTACTCAGACACAAATTGGTCGGCCACATAAAATCACAGCGCGACATCAGAGGATGCTGTTGTGCATCATGAAGAGAGGTTACCAAGTTCCTGCCAAGTCAATAACTGCAGGTCTCCAAACTTCACGTATTCTTTTGATGCATTGCGGCGTCAGAGCCGAGCTGTTTGTATGCGTTGCAGTCTTCGTGTAATCAGGTCCAAAAGCAGGAGGAGGTTTTCAGATTTAAGCATAACTCAGTCAAACATTAGCATGAAGCCGGCAGTTCAAGTCACGAAGAAGAAGAGCTAATTTGCAAAAAGCTAGCCTCACAACAGAGGAAATCAAAGCAAGCTTTGAATCTCAGGAACAGTAGGTTATCAACACTGCATGTAGAGATCATCTGATTGATCATGACTGCTGGTGAATGTGCAACCCAAACACACCTGCCTGCCTCTGTTTGATATTTTCTCTTCTCAGAAGCACAAGATAGCAGTAGAATAAGGCTGAAAACGCTAGAAGCTAGACATGTTATGGCCACTAAAAGTGAAGATAGACACATCCCTCTGACATGACAGCTGTATGTGTTCGCTCTACATATGAGCTCCAAAATCCTTGTACAGCTGGAGGTCCATTCCAATCAAAATTTTGCAAAGAGTGATACAAAAAATAAAATAAAATAAAAATTCCATGTAGTATTTGCCTTGGAGATTGCTGCTCAGCTTGGCTGCTAAAATAACGAATAATGCCCTGAACAAAATTAAAACACCACCAGAGCAGCAGTAATCAGAGGGGAAAATCCTAGGCAGAACTTTTATCAGCCTAGATTTTGAGAACTGCTCATCAGAACTAATCCTTTGAATCTCTAAAATAGTGCTGTGGTATTTTAACAGAATTAGTTTTACTGAGGTTTCTAGGATTCTTTTTATTTATATGAAAATAATCCCACAGATTCTTTTCATATAAATAAATAGAATCAGTTCAATTTGAACTCGGTTCAGTTCAATGAAATGTTAAGAACATAGGTTAAATGCTTTGTGTTGACGGCATTGAAAAGTGGTAGAATGAATGGCCAAGGAAAGAAATGGTCTTTAATAAGGAAGTGTCAGAGTTCAGAAGCTGCATTGCTCTATTTAAGATTAATAATCGCTGTCGTTTACCTTTCAGGGTCTGCAGAAGAAGATAAAATTGTAAAATCCGCAAATTTACTGCAGAACCAACGAGGAAAGACGGAGGCTTGGTGGTTCATCCTGTTGTCTACCACTGATGCTGAACCCACCCTCTACTTCTCCCCTTGTTTTTAGCATTATAATATTAGATATGCATGCATATCTAATATGCAAAGGATGGACCTGGTTCTGGTGCAACTCTTCAGCTTTTAGCTTGTGTTTCATCAACTTTATTATAGTTGATATTTTCTGTGCACCTTTTTCATGCTTAGTATGTTTTCCTGATTGTTTTTTATTGTTGTGGATTCAAATCAACGTTTACATGTATTTATTTACTTAATCAGTTTTTTGTCTGTTTAATGCTTATTAGAACAAGGCAGTCAGAATCGTGAATTGTGACAGGTTAATTTCACATTTTGATATAATATAATATAATATAATATAATATAATATAATATAATATAATATAATATAATATAATATAATATAATATAATATAATATTTATAAGTCGAAACAGCTCATATCGCGGCTCCGGACTGCGCGGCAGGTTACCGGTCAGCGGAGAGCGCAGTCAGGGTGAACACGGAAACCCCCACGGAGGTGAGCTGGATGAAGGGGATCAGCTTGCAGCCGACGCGCCCGAACAGCCACTCATCCACCAGGTAGCGGCTGGCGTCCACCGGGGCGCAGGTCACCAGCAGCAGCAGGTCCCCCAGCGCCAAGCTGGACAGGAACAGGTTGGGCACCGTGCGCATGGACTTCACCAGCAGACACGTCTTCATCAGGGTGATATTCCCGACCAGACCCACCAGGATGATGAACCCGTAGGCGGCAGCGATTCCGATGCCGGGGAGCCAGACGGCGTACTGGTGACGCTCCGCGCTGGAGTCCCAGAGCGTCTTGGAGACATTGAGGAGCAAAGCGTCGCTGTCCTCCAGCGACGAAGTCAACTGATCCTCCAGGGACATCGCGGCTTGAGAGTGAAGGACACAGACTGATGAGCCGCTGATGGTTTTCTGGCAGCTTTATAAACTATTTGCCCTCCTACAGGGTCGTGCGTCACTCCATGGAGCAAAGGATGGATAGTGGAGGGATGGAGCTAAGAAATTTGTAAGTGTATGAAAAGATCTGACTAAATTTGAGTCACAATATTTTTCTACAGATAGACTGAAAGAGAAAATGCTGGTTTACAAGTTCAAATGGTGATAAAGGTGCTCAACGCAGCTGTGAGGAATACTTTATCTGACATTTAAACAGTGGATGGAAGCAGCCAAAAGTCTCTCTGTTATCTTCATGTATATAGTTGCTTTTGCAGACAGGGACAAAATCAGAGATAAAAAGAATATATATATTTTTTCCCTCAGAAACACATTGGACCCACTTTGACTGTGTTGTGGTCACACTCTGATGTAACTCTATTGACTGGTTGATTGTCCCTTTGACTTAAAGATTTTTATTTCACAAAAAGTTTGTGGAACAGCAAGACTTAATGGGAGCCCTTTAGAGCTGTTAATTTGTAAAGCTTAAGAGGGCTTTATAAATTACTTTTATAACTTTTCTTTTGGAACTGAATCTCTGGAAAATGCTCATTCGGTGGTTCCAGGAAGCGGCCAAATAAAACAATTGAACATGCTCCTGTGAGAAAGATCTGCCTGGAAAAGAGGCATGGTCTCTGTTTAGAACAACGGACTGCTCTACCTGCTGCTACACGCGATCTGTGACATAATTTAGAACCAGTGATTGTATATTAGACAACAGCTTGGCTTTTTGTGACAGAAAAGTGACTTTTCGACTTATTTTACCAAAAAAAAAAAAAGAAAAAAAAATTGGAACAATAGATGATTTGTTAAGATTTTATACTTTTACGAGTTTTATCTGTTCTGACTTTAAAATATTGTATAATCAAATGAGTCATTAAAATATGCTCATTTCCTTTTTAATCAGTGAGAACCCACAAAACACTGAGCATAATTATTGGTTCGGTTAACCATAAATTATTTGTGCCTTTTTTTTTTTAAACTAAATTCAGAAAAAGTCAGAACTGCAAGTTCTGATTAATCGAAAACGATGAGTAGTGATTATCAGCTCAGTGTGTCCTTGTGATTTTTGCTTTATTGTTGAGGTGATTACCTTTTCACAATACAACCCAAGGTGTCTGTCTGTAAGTGATGTCAGCCATCTGAATATTTGGTTTTTGTTATCTTTGAAAATGCAATTTCTGTTGACTCACATAGCCAAGGAGATGCTATTGCAAAACTTTTTATAAGGACAACCCAGCTGAAACTTTTAATCAAATTTACTCTTCCATCTCCCATTTATCATGTAACTCGGTGGATGAGTTGGTAGAAAACTCCCATTCCAGTGCTCCCATTAAAGTGAAGGCTGTTGCTGACAGGAAGATGTTTCTGTGGATAAACAAATGCTCCACTAGTAAGAAATTGTTGGACCTATAGTTATGACGGATGAACAATAAGAAGCTGGTGTAATGACTTTCAGTCAAACAGTGCACTGCATTACAGTACTTCCAAACGATGCATATCATTCTCCAGGGACATATAAAAATGTTAAATCAGGTGATGCATCCTGGAAACGTATCAGCTGAAGAACATTTCCAGGACAAATGTCCCCAGCAAGGTCTTGGGGAAACTCATCTATGCATTTTTATTCAGCCACTCTGATTGCTGCAGCAGTGTCCTCACAGTCTGTCTAAAACAATCAATCCTCCAGCTGCAGATGATCCAGAACCCTGCTGGTGTCCTCAGTAAAACCAGGAAGATAGAGCACATCACTCAAGTGTTAAAGTGCTTACACTGGTACCCTGCAGCTCAGAGAATAGACGTCGGTTAGTTTATAAATCAGTGGACGGCAGAGGTCCAAAATACATAAAAGATCTGCTGCTGCTGTAACAACTTTCCAAACCTCTGGTTCTGATCTGCTTTGCGTCCCCAGAACCAGAACCAAACGCCGAGAAGCAGCATTCGGTTTCTGTGCAGCACTTCCACAAACTTCCATAAAACTGCAAAACAGCTGGAACACTGAGTTCCAAAGTGAGACTCAGAAGGATTTTGACCTTTCAGCTGCCTTTAGAATATCTGGAACATTGATTGTGATATTTGATGATGATTATTCTTGATTAGTTTCACAATGGTGTTTGACAAAATGTGATGTTTGTTGTTTGTCTCATAATTGGAAGACAATTTTTAACAAATGTAATGAAAAAAATCCCTAAATAATTAGCAAAAACAAATTTACATTTACAGAAAGAAGGGCGACGGTTTATGTGATTCTGTAAACAGTGAACTTATGCATTTTTTATTAAAACGTCTCTGTGGACGCAACTATCCATTACAGTGAGCGAAAAACAGAAAAGCTCCAGTATTGAGCCAACCAGCTACGGTGGTGTGCAGAGTTAGACAAACGTCAAATGGGAGCCAAACTTTACATGAAAATCTCTGGCGACTCTAGATGCAGCATATGGTACCGTGGAAGTTTGAACGTCCTTATGGACAGGAAAGAAAGTCAGAATTTTTATAATAAATGATATGATGTATAGCCTTCGATTTGATTCAGTTGGGGAAAAAATATATACAGCAAAAACGGCTGCACACACACACACACACATACACACACACCCAAGAACAATCTGGAGAGCCTAATTAGTCTGTGGAAGGACGCCATGGTTCCTGAAGTAACCCTACAAACTGCATCCAAAAAGGCCCTGAACTGGACGTGAACCCAGAATATTCTTGCTTCCATCTGAACTAACTACTGTCATGACGCCTTCAGCTCGCTCACAATGAAAATACAAATCTCTGACCAGCTGCCAAAGACCTCCTTCTTTCACCGGCCATGATGCTGTAAATAAATGAATCAGAACCAGAGGAAATTGATGCAAAAATAAATACACAGTCCCTAAAAGAAGTATTCACCTCCTTGGATGTTTTACCATTTGTATTGCCTTGAAACATCAATTATAGTCAATATAATCAGGCATTTTGGATAATTGCCTGATTATCTAAAGTCATAAGACTAGAGGACTGGGCCACTCCAGTCGTCTTCAGTCCGTTTCTGTGTAGCTTTAGCTGGATGCTTCCGGTCATGGACTGATGCAGGTTATTTCTTTCTCACCGCCATCTACTGACTCCGTTACCTCAAATAAAAACACATTTTTATGCTAAAGGGTTCAAGGAGTCTTTAATAGCTTCTTTTTTTAGTAAATGGTTGGATGACCTGTTTAAAGTGCAACTTGTCTCTCCTGCTCTGAAAATGCAAGGAACCTGAACTGAATAAAGTGGGTTTGCAAAATTAATGAAGGCATTCAACCACTCAGTTTATTTTAAAACACAGACCTCTGGGTGAACAAGAAATCACTTTTTTTTTCCTTCTCTTATCTCATTGAGCTCTCCTCAAACTAACAGTTCATAGAGGCCCAAATCTTCACTGAACCTGAACATTTTACTAAGCAACAGTAAAAGCCTGAAAACAAAGTCAGAGCCATGAGGGCGAATCTTAAAGGATCTCGTCTGGATTCTTGCTTCCAAGCAGTTCTCCGCTCCAACAGGTGTCATGGCATTTTGCCTGCTGGTTGTTGTCATCTGCTATCAAATCAGCTTGTCACTTTGGAGGATGTCCAGAGGACTTGGCAAAGTCAGGCTCTCAGATTGGCTGCAGCTCTGCTTCGGAGAACATATTCACACAGGGAAAAGTGGGGTTGAAATGGAAGCTTCTCTTATTAATTTGTGTTCAGGTTTTAGCAAAATCAACAAAGATATCTTAGAAGTAAATTTCTCAGGAGACCAACAGGATTATGATTGTATTCAGACTGTATTCTACTAGTCCTTGTGAGATTTCTCTAGGTATTTTAGCTTCGTCCTACAAAATGCTCTCCACGTTTATTGAGTGTGTGAATTTGTAATCTGTAGCATCTTTCCACAATTATTAGACCTAATTGTAAATATGTGTAAAAACTCTAAAATAAACCCATCTATTGTTGTAATCACATTCAGAAAATATCCAACTTTAAAAATACCAATGTTAATGCATTGACATTGGTATTTTTACAGTTTATTTGTACAGCACAATTCAAAAGTATTTTACATAATAAATACATTGTACAGTAACCAATTATGAATCGGCTGTGTTGTGCCTGAAAGAGAGTTTTGTTATCGCATCTCTTTGGCTTAGTGAGTCAACAGAGATTGTACTTTCGAAGATAACAGAGAGAGGATTAGATAGGGCGACATGAATTTCAGAGACCTTGTAAATATTTACACTGCTGCTGATTGTCAGGTCCAGAGCGAGTCTTCGATTGTGTGTTGCTTGTGTAACGCGTTGAGTCAAACCAAAGTTTTGAAGTATATCACGCAGTTTTTTTCCCCCTGTCAACATGGATGCTGAAGCCTCCCACATTTATTAAACAGCCGCAATCAATGGAAATAACAGATAAAAGGTCACAGAGGTCATCTTAAAAAAAATGCCACATATTTTGGGTTTTATATAAAGTTAGAATCAGAGCTCTTTTCTGGCGTTTTAACTCGATTGATTCCCAACAAAGAGTCAAATCTGCACCTTTATACAGTTTAGTGAATCATGAAATAAGATGGCAAGCCCCCCATCTTTGCTTATGCTTTCTGCTCAAATGCACAAAAAGTGGCCTTCTGCTGTCACTCAGTTTCCACTTGGGAAGCATGACAGGAAAACAGTCAAGGCTTTATCCATCACGTCTGACAGCACACTCGAATGCACGGCTAACACCGAGGCTGCGTTCAGGGAAGGAAAAAGTAGTTGCTTTAATGCCTGCAACAAGACGACGGAGATCTTCTAACAGTCTGTTGTCTCCAGCATCATCGTTTTTGAGGCTGTTTTGTGTGGGAGCCAGAAACACCCACAGACTGAACGAGATCATCAGGAGAGCTGGCTCCGTAATCGGTCTCAGTCTGGAGATATTTGAGGCCATGGTGGAAGGAAAAACGCCAAAGA